GGATGGCCTTGGCCAGCACAGTGAGGGCAACAGCTCTGCTCCATGTCATGTCCAGCAGTGCAGCCCGGGCATGTTGTCATGGCAAAGGCAAAGAGGTGTAAGAGTGAGAGGAAACAAAATGCTTCTGTCACAATTGCTAAGATGTCATTAGCCAAAGCAAGTTAGAGGGCCAAGTTCAGAATGAAGGGGTGGGGAAATACATTCCACAAAATTGATGGGAGGAGTTGCAAAAGACATTGGAAGGGGTATAGATACAGGGAGGTGGGAAGAATTGGGGCTATTAATGCCATGTATTACATTCACATGCCCTGTGACTCCACCATGGTTGAGAAAACTAGGCCACATGAGCTCTAAGTCCTCTACCAGCTCTGGCATTGTCCCTGGACAGATAAATGAAAGTTCCTGTAGGAGTTAAGATTTTTTTTTTTTTTGAGACAGAGTCTGGCTCTGTCGCCAGGCTGGAGTGCAGTGGTGCAATCTAAGCTCACTGCAGCCTCCACCTCCCGGGTTCAAGTGATTCTCCTGCCTCACTGTCCTGAGTAGCTGGGATTACAGGTGTCTGCCACCACGCCCGGCTAATTTTTGTATTTTTAGTAGAGATGGGGTTTCACCATATGGCCAGGATGGTCTCGATCTCTTGACCTCGTGATCCACCCGCCCTGGCCTCCCAAAGTGCTGGGATTATAGGTGTGAGCCACTGTGACCAGCCTGAGTTAAGACATTTCTATTCATGGTTCATGCAGAGGGCACCAAAAGCAAGCCAATGGCTTCCCTTGGGTTGGCACTCCCTCCTTTATTCACTGCGTATAGTGTGCTTCCCGCTTGCCATTTCTTAACAAGAGCACTATTCCCCTTATCTGTTGCTAAGTAACAAGCTATTCCCCAGAACTTGGCTTAAAACAATCAATCACCATTTTATGTCATGGAATTTGTTTGTTAGGAACTAGGACAGAGCTTGTTTAGATAGCTCAGCTTCTTGTGGCTTCAACTGAGATCACCCAGTGGTACTTAGCTGGCAGATGGGCTGGCCTGCAGGATCCAAGCTAACTTCACTCACATGCCTGGCACCATGATGGGATGGCTGAAAGCAGGCTCCTGGAACCTCTGGGCCCATGGATTGTAATGGTGAATTGCTCAAATGTAACGATCTCCTTGGTGAGTCACCAAGGTCCTTGACCTGTATGCTGATAATTACTACACAGGTGCTGAAGAACTGCTTCATTGAAAATTTAAATTGACTCACTCTATTACAGGGGAAGGATGGGGCCAAACAACTCCAGTAGAGCAGGCATTGTGGCATAGGTCAGCCCACTAATTGTAATGAGCTTTGGAGATTCTTTAGCAATTTGACCCACACATACCCTCTATGCCCCTAACAGAATGATGGCCTGTGTGTCTGTCCCAGGAGACATTCAGAAATTGTCCCACCCACTTCCCTAGCACTAGTTCCTAAGTGAAGTGCTGGTGACCAAGCTTCCATCAAAAACCTTACTTTGCTTACAAATTGTTACTAAAACGGCTTTGCAGATGGACAGGTAAGAGGCCTAGGGCCAAATCCCAACCCTATAATTCCCTGGTCATGTTAAGAGTTCTGGGACGACCTATAGAATCCCAGAGACAGGCTGGATCCTTGGAGGTCAGTTGAGCAGAGCCTGAGCTTTTGTTACTGGTGAAAACATCAAAACCAGTCCAGCACTGAAAGAGTAAAAAAATCAGTCCAGATGAAGAGAGTAAGTCACCTCCGAGCCCCTACCATGCCTCAGACTGTCATAGCTGACACTCAGAAAGCCAGCTGCAATGGTACCAGGAGGAATATTTCTACCACACTGCTGCAATTGAAAAGCATCATAACCATTTTTTTTTTTTTTTTTTTCTACCTTGAGAGGGAGTCTTGCCCCATCACCCAGGCTGGAGTGTAATGCATGATGTCGGCTCACTGTAACCTCCGCCTCGTGGGTTCAAGTTATTCTCCTGCCTCAGCCTCCTAAGTAGCTGGGATTACAGGCACCCACCACCACACCCAGCTGTTTTTTGTATTTTTATTATAGATGGGGTTTCACCATGTTGGCCAGGCTGGTCTCAAATTCCTGACCTAAGGTGATCCACCTGCCTTGGCCTCCCAAAGTGCTGGGATTACAGGCATGAGCCACTGCGCCCCACCAACCATTCCTTTTTTTGAGTGACTACTACTTTCTTTCCAATGATATCTCTACCTTTGCTTTGTTACTCCCGATAACCTGAAAAAAATCACTGTGAAACTTTGTGAATACCTCTAAATCCCCAAAGAAGTGACTGATTTGGCCTGAGCCACGAAATGATAATGACAAATAAAATCCAACACTTCCTAAACAGTTGTGTTTTTTTGACAGTCTCGCTCTGTCACCCAGGCTGGAGTGCAGTGGCACAATCTCGGCTCACTGCAGCCTCAACCTGCTAGGCCCAAGAGATCCTCCTGCCTCAGCCTCCCAAGTAGCTGGGACTGCAGGTGCACGCCACCCCACCCAGCTGATTTTTGTATTTTTTGTAGAGATGGGGTTTTACCATGTTGCCCAGGCTGATCTCAAACTCCTAGACTCAAGCGATTCACCCACCTTGGCCTCCCAAAGTGCTGGGATTACAGGCATGAGCCACCATGGCTTGCTGGAAAAGAATTTCTTGAGAGCCACTGGAACAGGCATTGTCTCTTCCTCTGGATTTTGCAGGGTACAGATGTAAGCTTGAAGCTGCAGCAGTCAACCCCTAAGGATCAAATTAACGGAAAGGTTCAAATAGTTGAAAGGATAGCAGAGGATGGAGTGGGGACCTTGATGGAGTCATGCCTGATCTCCACCCCACCCCAGTGGACTTTTAGTTATATGAACCAATAAATATCACCTTATGGTATTCAGATTGGATTATCTTTTCCTGCCAACAAAAGCATATGGACTGGCATAGCCTTCTCTGGTGACCAACTGCATCTCTGAGATCCTGTCTTATTCTAAGCCACCCCATGTGATAGCCTCAGGAGCAACTGAGGGAATCCATTCCTGCTCCTAGGGTATCTACTGTTAGAGCTGAAGGGCAGGGGCCACACTCACAACCTGTTAGACTTGGAAGAAAAATCAGCCCTTATTCAAAGTTTTTTTCACATGAGGAAATTGAAACCATGAGAAGTGATGAACCCAGCCTGAATCGAGGTACCTGCAACCCCCCTGTTTAGTGCTCTTCCAACTTCCTCCTGGACCAGCAGATTATCTCAGGAAACATTTCCTTGACACAGATGAGCTCTTGAATACCAACTCTATGGCTCCCTGGGCAGCACACCCATTTCTATTCAAAGGGAACCGGCTCCCTACATCACAGTTAGCATTTCAAGAGAGGAGTTGGAGCCATTCACCTTCCCTGATCTCTCATCTTGCCATTTCAAAATGCCAAAGGGGCAGAATTACTACTCTTATACATATTCTTAAAACATGTGACTTTGAATCCTTCCATTTCCCGAGCCTTTCAGAACTGTCCCTTGAAATAGCTCAAGACAGGCACAGCCCTAATGTTTCAGGGTCCAGGAAAGAACATATATGGACACTCACATACCAAATGTCTAGGTATTTACATTACAATCAAATAATAGACTATTTTTGTTGTTTTGCTTTTTGTTTTTTAGAGGTGGGGGGGGGTTCACTGTGTTGCCCAGGCTGGCTTGAATTCCTGGACTCAGGTGATCCTCTCACCACAGCCTCCCAAGTAGCTGGGACTGCAGGCACATGCCACCTGATACGGTTTGGCTGTATCCCCACCCATATCTCATCTTGAATTCCCATGTGTTGTGGGAGGGACCTGGTGGGAGGTAATTGAATCATGGGAGCAATTCTTTCCCGTGCTGTTCTCGTGATAGTGACCAAGTCTCACGAGATCTGATGGTTTTAAAAAGAAGTTCCCCTGCACAAGCTCTCTTTCTCTCTTTGCCTGCCGCCATCCATGTAGGAAGTGATTTGCTCCTCCTTGCCTTCCGCCATCATTGTGAGGCCTCCCCAACCATGTGGAATTGTTAAGTCCATTAAACCTCTTTCTTTTATAAATTGCCAGTCTCAGGTATGTCTTTATCAGCAGCATGAAAATAGACTAATAGAAATTCCTGGACTCAAGTGATCCTCTCACCACAGCCTTCCAAATAGCTGGGACTATAGGCACATGCCACCAATCCCAGCTAAAAGATTCAATATATTCTATTTGTTTCCCTCAAAAAGGATACTTTCATAAAGAAGGCCAGGTTTGAATTTGGAATTTTGGATTCCACAAAGTTTTGTGGTAGCAAGAGGAGAGCAGGGTCCAGCACCCTGCCAGACCTGCTTCTGTTTTTACCCCCTGCCCATCCCACACTGAGAAGAGCCTCATGTGTGCCCATGAAGAAACCCCAGCCCACATTCTAAGTCCCATCTATCATTCCTCCAAACAACTTTTTGCTGGCCACCCCCAGGCCTGCATGTGTGCAGGTCACACTCAGGAGAACAGACATGGGCAAGAGGCCTGCAGGTCCAGGAAGCAGGCTCAGGACCACCTGGGTGGGGAACTGTGGTTTCCCAGGTACCTGGAACATGGTCGAGGAGTGGGGTGTGCAAGCGCCAGCGGGTGTGTCACTTTGGCCACACAGACAGCTCGCTCTGTGGGGAGGGTAATGGCCAGAGGAGGGCCAGAGTGGGGCCTTCCGGCCTTGGGATCCAGGACAGGGCCTCTCTTGGCCAGGTCCAGGAGTAGTACTAGACCTCCATTCCATCCTCAACAAGGTCCTAAAACTAAGGCTGGGGACGAGGCTGGGCTAGCAAGACTGGGTTTTGTGACCTTGGGCAAGTCCATGACCTCTCTGGATCTGTTTCCTCCCTTGTCCCTGAGGGAGCTGGAATGCTTCCACATTCCAGAAACCTCCACAGAATTCAGAAGCAGATTTGAATTCAGACTCCTCACTCCATCTGGCAATGTTGAGACACTGGCCCCACCCCACCACGGAAGAGAGAGCCACAGCAGGGAAATGAACTGCCTTTATTTTTTTATTTCCCATCCGGAAACCCCAGTGTGATGGTGGAAGCAGCATGAAAACCACATCTCCCTGGGCCTCACAGTAAAGGTGAAGGGGACAAGGCTGACCATGTGCCTGCCTCTAAAGACACCATTCTCGGGTCGATGTCACCTGTGGGAGACAGGGTTCACCTACAGACACCAGGTGATGGTTCACCGGGTCCCAAGCTCCAGCCTGCTGAGTCCCCAAGACTCAGGCTCATTAAATAGCTTCATACCAAAACCCAGGGGTATCCCTCCAGCTGGTAACAAATGGGCAAATTCCACTTGAGGTCTGCTGTGGGAGTGGACCTCACCTTGGAGATGTCTTTCCAAAATAAAACTAAGCCCTACTCCAGAAAAAGGGTGATGAAAGGCAGCTCACAGACATGCAGGACTAATAATCTTATCGAAAAGGGAGCAGCTCAGGCACACAGGAGGACAAGGCTATGCAATATGCAGACACAAACGGAGGGCCACAAGGTACTGTCGGGGGTCAGCAGGAGGCAAGGAGGTAGCGCTCCAGCCAGGAACGCTCCGCCTGGAGACAGCACTCACAGTGGGCCCTAGATGGGGGACCCAGGACAGTATCTGTCTAAAGACCAAGGAGACACCAAGAGCTTGCCCAGGTGTGGGCTAGTGCAGGTCACACAGTCCTCGTGAGTCTCCTGGACAGGAAATGGACATGAGGGACATTTGAGAGACAGGGGCCAAAGTAGAGAGGAAGCCAAGAGGTCAGGATGGTGCCGGAGATTTTGAAACCACAAGAGCCACCCCTTTGGGAAACACTGAGAAGAGGAGGCTCTAGCCTCTGCTTGGGGGAAGCTTGGGTCAGGTGGGTTCTCAGTACTTTTTCACAGTTAAGTCTCTTCCTGGGCAGCCACATCCACATCAGGCTGGGCTGGGCTGTGGCCAGTCACGGGGTCCTGTGGCAGGTTCAAGGCTGTGAGCCACACCGAGAGAACGTGCCCACTTCCCTGCTTAGTGGTCCACAGGCCCTGAGAGCTCCGAGAGCTGGCTGCCCAGGCTGAGTGAGAATGCCTGCTCCTTTCAGAGGCCGGGGGGCGGAGAGGCCTGTACTCCAGATTCCCCAGTGAGATCCAAACATACCAAAACAGCCCCGCAGGTCTATGTGTGTCTCACAGTGCTCAGCCATGTTGGCAGCCTGGGTCAGCAACATTCCAGAAGAGGAAGAGCATTGTAACCGGTTGTTTGGCAGTGATGGGGAACCATTCTCAGGTTGGGCATGCGGAAGGTTTTCCGGTACTTTGGATTAAGACAGGATGCAGTGGTCCTAAATTCTTCATCACACTGAGTTAACAGCACGTCCTAGTAGCAGGAATTTGTCCTTGTTTTTGTCACACAAAGATTGGTGGAGACGGGGCCAGGACAGTGCATGGCCAGTTTGATGACGGTGAGAAGCTGCTGCCAGCTCTGTGGGGCGCAGCCCACCTCCTCCTCGCAGCCTCAGGTGAAGTAGCGGCAGGGCGTGGAGTCGATGTAGCAGTACTGTGTGCATCGCAGCTCTCCGTATGACCTGAGGGAGGCAAAGACACGTTCTAAAAGGCCACCTCTTACCTGCTGGTGACTCCTGGTCAAACCTTATCAAACAGCGGCCAACGGCCAGTGGTTCTATAAAAACTTTTCCCATTCTTATTTGGGGTGAGAGGCCTGGGGGAGCTGAATCACGTTTCTGGGATTTTTGCTTTGAGCCCCCGCTAGGGGCCTGGGTAGAAGGAGATAGTCACCCTGCTCTTAGCACAGCATCTATAAGAGAATCACCCCCTTCTCAAGGTCTGAAAGGTTACAATGCGCCATACTGACAAAAATGTCCTGTATCTGTGAAGCTACTGGCCAGATGTGGCTATTGAGCTCTTGAAATGTAGCTAGTGTGACTGAATAACTGCATTTTTTTTCTTCCCTTTGAGACAGAATTTCGCTCTGTCCCCCAGGCTGGAGTGCAGTGGTGTGATCTCAGCTCACTGCAACCTCTGCCTCCTGGGTTCAAGCGATTTTCCTGCCTCAGCTTCCCGAGCAGCTGGGATTAGAGGTGCGTGCCACCTTTCCCGGCTAATGTTTATATTTTTAGTAGAGGCGTGGTCTCACCATGTTGGCCAGGATGGTCTTGAACTCCTGACCTCAGATGATCCACCTGCCTCAGCCTCCTACAGTGCTGGAACAGGTGTGAGCCACAGTGCCTGGCCTGAATAGCTGCATTTTAAGTTTACTTACAATTACGTTAAATTTGAACAGTGGCCATATTGGGCTACCATATTGGACAGTGCAGTTTATACCTCTGTAGGCCAGAATGATCATCTGAGACAGGGTGTTAAACCTCACACACACAGTCACAAGCGTCCATCTGACGCTTCTGGGAAGTAGATGCATAACCACAGTGAGCGTGGGGGAGCCCTCGGCTCTACTCAATCCTGCACTCTATCTGATCGTTTACACTCATTTGTCTCCGTGGAGCCATGAAGAGCCAGCTCTCTAGCAGAGGCCTATCAGGGGTCTTCCTTCCTTCAGGGAGAGGAGTGCTGCACATACATGGAGTGGGGTCCTGGCTGAGCCTAAACAGGCTTGGAGTCTGGGGGAGACTATAGGTCTGTAGTTCTCCTAGCCTGGTTGAACATGCTAATACATGAGTGTTAGGGAGACTCCCTAGGAAGAGAGCAGAGAGCGGGCAGTGGAGGGACAGGCATGGCTCCCCAGCCCTGCCAAGGGCCCAGGTCTGAGTCTATAAGAGGAAAAGGGATGGGAGCAAAAGCTGAAGAGATTGGACTAAAGGATAGAAGAGGTTGGAGATACCAGTAGGATCCACTCTGGAACCAAGGGAAGAGCAGGGCACGGCCTGGGTGAGAAGGAATGGCCTCCCCATTTTCCTGAGAACATTGTACAACTCTGATTCTCTAAGGACCTGGGAGACATGTATCTTCTGCACCTTGGAAGGAGCCCAGGGGTTACAATCTGGGCATGGAATCAGTGCCTCATGGGACGGTGGCCCGCAGTTGGCTTGGCAGATGCCAGCGTGGAGCCAGGACATATGGAATACTTGTCCTGAGCAACATAAATAGCCACTGAGGAGTCTCAGAAATAACTAAAGGAGTCCTTGGAGGGAGTACTTGCTTGGAGGGGCCATGAGCTTGCAAACTTAGATATTAAGGCTGATTTGATCTCACTTGCATTCACAGGCATGCCTGAAGGATGGCAGTGTGTTCCAGGGAAGTCAGGTTAGGGAGACATATGGATTCTTTGAAATGCGCTGAGACCTTTTCTCTCCACTGGGCTTCCCACCTAGGCCCATGGCCCAGGAGACTAAGTGGTCACAGTGACCACTGGGTTTCAGGGCTGCTCATACAGGGCAGCAGCTGATCTCAGAGACTGCAGTTCCCCTCTGGGCCTTGGACAGAGCAGGTGGCTGTGTGTGCTGTGGCTCAGCCTCAGTGGCACGCAGGCAGTGCTGACTAAGAGGGCACATGATGGGTGGGGAGCATGTGTTGTGTCATTCATCACCATGCCTCAGTGTCTAGAAGCACTACGAAATGGAGAGGCACTCAAAATATTTGTGAAGGAAAGAAGGAAAGCAAAGAGGAGAGTGGGAGAAAGAGGGAGAAGGTGGAGGGAGTCATCCTTACCCAGGGAGATAGGTCTCGCACGTCAGGTAGCCAAAGTCAGAGCCATCACAGTCCTCCACACCCTCATGCCGGTGACCGTCTCCACAGTAGGCACGGTGACAGCCTGAGGGGACATAAGGAGGTGCAGTCCTGAGTAGAAGCAGAGGTGCCAGGCTTGACTCAGCTTTTAAGGACCATGCAGCCCAAGGGATCCCCCCTGAATGATGCACTGCTGAGAGAACTTGCCTCCAGTAAGCTTCAGACTCCTCCAGGGACTGCCCCTCAGGCTCTGGTCCCACATTGATGTGCTATGGGACAAGAATGACGAAACCCTGGCTCCGGCCCCGCCTAACCACTTACTAGCTGAGGGGTGGGGAAACTCCAGGTGGTTATCTGCAAAACTAGGACACTGACATGACCCCCACCTCAAACAGCCAGTGTGTGGGTCCTGGGAGTGAGTGCTAGGAAACTGCTGGTCCCCAGTGTGGGTGCATGGGGACTCTCATCGGTCAACAGAGAGCTTCTGTGTGACACTGGTGAGCCCAGCCTTGGGTCCCTGGGGAGCCACATGATCTGCAGCAAAGACCTCTGCTCTCACACGACAGGAGGGTCTTGGAGTATGGACCCCAGCATCATTTTCACAGGACGGGAAAACCCATTTGCTCCTTCCTACTGTGAGAGCTCCTATTTGACACTGTGCACCAGAGGCAGAAGGGACTCTGGGGGATGCCATCCCTGGAGGTGTCGGGAGACAGTGAGACCATGCTGAGATAATCAGCAGCATGTCCCAACACCCACTCTGCCCTGTCATCCTTCCCCTCAACTTTTTTTTTTTTTTTTTTTTTTGAGAGAGTCTCTCTCTGTCACCCAGCCTGGAGTGCAGTGGTGTAATTGCAGCTCACTGCAGCCTTGAACCTCTGGGTTCAAGCCATCCTCCCACCTCACCATCCTAGTAGCTGGGACTACAGATGTGCACCACCAGGCCTGGCTAATTTTTTTAAATTTTTAATTATTTTGTAGAGATTGGGTCTTGCTCTGTTGCCCAGGCTGGTGTTGAACTTCTAGGCTCAACTGATCCTCCAACCTCAGCTTCCCAAAATGTTGGGATTACAGGCATAAGCCACTGCGCCCAGCCTCCCCTGAGCTTATTGAAAGCAAGGACCATGACTTTGCATCCACACCCACCCAGCCCGGAGGCCCAGCCTAGCTCTTTAGAGAAGAGGCTTAAACCACACTCCCTAAATGAATTCTGTGAACAGTGGTTGAACCCTTACTATATCCAGATAATCCCTGCACACATTAGCTAACAGGATCTCCAGGGACTTGAGCAGCCAGCACATTTCACAGCTAAGGAAAGTGAGGCTTAGAGCTGTAAACTGCCCCCCATCACCCCACCCACTGTGTGGCCTCTGCCTTGAGCCTGAGGGTGGTTGGTGGTTTTCAGAGCCTGCATTCAATCTCTGTTGACTCTTCAGCTCATGCTTTCCATCACACCTCCTGGTTTTGTTACTTGATTTAAAGAAGAAAAAAAAAGCAAACCCTCCAGAGATTGCTGCCTAAGAGGCTGATTAAAGCTCTGGCTGGCCTAGCTTCCTCTATGGAGGGCTTTGCCGCTCGAGCTCTACCTGGTAAATGAGCCCTCATTCAGATTCTTGGCCTCTCCCTTTTGCCTTTCACTCCTCCTCGCAAAGTGAGAGCCCATCACCTTTATCTTCTGCACCTGTAACATGGAATTTTGCTAAGATGTAGGACTGGAAGGACCTGATGGCTACATTTTGGGGTAAAGAAGGTCTAACTGGGGAAGGACCCTTGACATCCACCCCTGGTGAGGTGCTTGGGTGGTGGGAGAGTTAACATTTGGGCTGAAATTGGGGCAGCAGGGACTAGGGTGGACAGCACAAAGACAGCCTGGGTACACCCTTCTCTGGGTCTAGAATGGTCGCACAGCACCATAGCTGGTGTTCGGGGCTGGTCCCCAGTCCCACCCCCCTGCTGTTCAGGCCTCAGGTCCTCCTGGGCTGGACCTCACTCACTGATGCAGTCGTCACCCACATCGTTGTTACCGTCGTCACACTCCTCCCCAGGCTGCAGGAACCCATCTCCGCAGGTGCTGCGCTGGTCTACAGTGTAATCCACAGGGTAGAGAGGGGTCAGCTGGCCAAGGAAGCACACAGCATTAACTGGAGCATGGCATGCCCAGGCAGCCACAGGCAGGGAGGTCACTGGTTCTATGTCCCACAGCACTGCTGGGGGACATGCCTTGACTTCCTCCCAGGGGTGGGAAAGATACTCCTTTCTTGTCACTGGAGCTCTGTAGCTGGGTGAATGCTGGGTCACATCAAAATGGCAATCTGGCACACAGGGATGTGGCGACCATTTGGAACCTTGGCTCAGAGAGGGGCTTCTATTTGGGGGTCAGGGTAGGGGGATGGAGGGCTTCTGATAAACAGTTTGAGGCAGGATGCTCAGCCCTTCCATGCAGACAGACTGCAGAAAGCCCTTCCCAGGCCCAGTGGGGTGGCCTTCCCTTCCTTTAAGGCAGGCGTCCCCAAACTACGGCCCATGGGCCGCATGCGGCCCCCTGAGGCCATTTATCCGGCCCCCCGCTGCACTTCAGGAAGGGTTACCTCTTTCATTGGTGGTCAGTGAGAGGAGCACAGTATGTGGTGGTCCTCCAACGGTCTGAGGGACAGTGAACTGGCCCCCTGTGTAAAAAGTTTGGGGACGCCTGCTTTAATGGATGCATCTCTTTCCTGGGCAGGGAGTATGTCCTGAGGTGATGGCCTGGGGGTACCTGGATGGGGAGCCAGCCAAGGCTGTCCTTGAAGTAGAGAGATCTCTGGTCTCTGCGGAAGGCAATGGCGTTTTGGGTGTTCAGCCTCTCTAGCTCCTCCTGGTTGTTGACCACAAAAATCTGCCAGAGAACACAATGGTGATGATTCCAGAAAACAATTCTGCAGGGTACAGGGAAAAAGCTGGCAGAGGAAACCATCTCTATCCTTGAGCTGCTCAACAGTGGGAAGAGGGATTTGCATATTACACTCTAGCATTCCTTCTGAAGTGAGAGGAGTGTCTTGATTCCCACACCTTCTCGATCCAGTTCCTAATGTGAGTTTGAAACAAAAATATTCACTTGAATTTAACAATTTTAAATATTTAAAATGCTCCCAAGACTTAAATCAAAAGGCAATGTCTTATAGTCAAGTAATTTGACATGTGAAAGTGATTCTTAAAATTATCATACTCAAAGATGTTCTTTACAGTATTATTTACATTAGTAAAAAGCTTGGGGGTGGCCAATAAACAATATGTTGCTTAAACACCAACATTGATTAAATAAATGGTAGCCCAGTCACACTGAATGGATGATTATGATGAATTGATGTCCACGGTTTACTTCAAAATAATCCAACAGAGGATGGGCAGTAGTGAGTGGGCATAAAGAGAAAACTAGGATATAAGGCTTGCCATGAGTTAATCATTATTCAAGTTGGGTGACGGGTAAACAGTATAAGAGTTCATCACACTATTCTGCTTCTACATGTATTTGAAATTTTCTCTTTAAAAAGCTTAAAATGTTATTTATAGAAGGTGGAAACATGGCAGGATTTCAACTAAGATAAGAAAGTACAACATTTTTATACAATATAATCTCAACCATACAAAAGGTAGATTTTAAAAAGACAAAGAAAATACCCCCCAAATGGACTCACAATCAAATGGATAGTTTGGTTTCCTCTGTTGATTTTCTCATATTTTCCAATTTCCGATAATGAATGTGTACCCAGAGTCATGAAAGAAAGTAAATTTTACCGAAAGGATTTTACAAAGCCCCATAAGGATCAGATGAGAGGTCCTCATGGATAACCACCCCAGACTTCTCCCAGAAAGCCTTACCACAGGAACTCGCGGGGAACTGGGCCCATATACGGATTCCCCGTAGGAAGGGTTATTCACATTCATAGGGGGTCCACAAAGACATCTTCCTGGAGGCCCGGGAAATCCTCTTTCCCCTTTGGGTCCCATTATAAGTTGTCCTAGGAAGCAACAGACTGCTGTATTACTAGAGCCAAGGAAGAGAAGACCAAACAACCCAGGGAGATGTGAGCAATCTATGCAACAGAAAAAAGGTTAAAGTCCATCGCATTTCAGGGTATGCCTGAAGGAGAGGTTAAATAAATACTTTTGGCTGGGCATGGTGGCTCACACCTATAATCCCAGCACTTTGGGAGGCCGAGGCGGGCAGATCATGAGGTCAAGAGATCAATATCATCCTGGCCAACATAATGAAACCTCGTTTCCACTAAAATTACAAAAATTATTTGGGCTTGGTGGCACGCATCTGCAGTCCCAGCTATTTGGGAGGCTGAGGCAGGAGAATCGCTTGAACCTGGGAGGCAGAGGTTGCAGTGAGCCAAGATCGTGCCACTGCACTCCAGCCTGGTGAGACTGTCAAAACAAACAAAAAAATAGATGCTTTTGATTCAAGACATGGAGGAGATAAGGTGAGAAAAATAGCTGGGAGGAGACAGTTTCCCCCTCCTTCCTGCGTTGAAGACAGGCAAAATGTCTGGTGCTGCAGCAGCCATGTTGCCAACAGGAAGTCACAAGCATGAGGAGATAAGCCAACATGCAGGAAAAGACAAAAGGCTCATGGGGTCTGGGGCCCTGACAGTGACAGTCAGAGGCTGAATCAAAGGCAGCTATTGTCTACCTCTGGACTTCTTTTTTCATTTTTTTTTTGTTTTTGTTGTTGTCGTTGTTTTTTTGAGATGGAGTTTTGCTCTTATTGCCCAGGCTGGAGTGCAATGGCACAATCTCAGCTCACTGCAACCTCTGCCTCCTGGGTTCAAGCAATTATCTTGCCTCAGCCTCCTGAGTAGCTGGGACTATAGGCATGCGCCACCATGCCTGGCTAATCTTGTATTTTTAGTAGAAACAGGCTTTCTCCATGTTGGTCAGGCTGGTCTCAAACTCCCGACCGCAGGTGATTTGCCTGCTTTGGCCTCCCAAAGTGCTGGGATTATAAGCATGAGCCACTGCGCCCAGCGTTGATTTCTTTATTGGAGAAAAACAATGCCCTATTTGTTTAGACCATTATTAACAGAGGGCTTCTTGCCTACAGACACATTATTGACTGATGACTTTAATTGTTTTAAACATTTTTTGTTGTTCTCATATATAGAATCTTTTTTTTTTTTTTGAGACAGAGTCTTGCTCTGTTGTCCAGGACGGAGTGCAGTGAAGCAATCTTGACTCACTGCAACCTTCACCTCCCAGGTTCAAGCGATTCTCCTGCCTCAGCCTCTTGTGTAGCTGGGATTACAGGTGTGTGCCACCATGCCTGGCCAATGTAGGATCTTTACAGAATAATTTCTGGGTGAGGGTTTCTTTCATTTCTTCTGGAAGAAAATAGAATGTTAGTATATGCTCAGCCCATTTACCCTCCCCTGGTGCTGAAGAAGTCAGGACATGTCTTGAAAAGATATGATCAGAAAATGTATTCCCTAGCAATGTGGAAAAACGGTGAGGATAGTACCTTGGCCTTTAAAGGCCCTGATGCCAAGGATACATCCCAGACCAAACTCCACCAAGGCTTCTGAAAACAGAACTGAATGTAGGCAGCATCCACACTTTTATCTATTAAAAATATTTTTTTATTGCGTTAGCATAAGGCATCCTTTTTTTTTTTTTTCTTGAGACAGTCTCACTCTGTTGCCCAGGCTGGAGTGCAGTGGTATAATCTCAGCTCACTGCAACCTCTGTCTCCCAGATTCCAGCGATTCTCCTGCCTCAACCTCCCGAGTGGCTAGGACTACAGGAGCGTGCCACCACGCTTGGCTAATTTTTCTGTTTTTAGTAAAGACAGGGTTTTGCTGTGTTGGCCAGGCTCATCTCGAACTCCTGAGCTCAACTGAGCCACCCGCTTCAGCTTCCCAAAGTGCTGGAATTACAGGCGTGAGCCACTGAGCCTGGTCAGGCAAATTGTGCCAAGGTTGAGAACTGGTCCATTCCTCTGCCAGATCATCCTCCCTTCATCCTCCATCCCTCCCAGCTGCCTCTCAACTGCCTTCTGATCTGGGTTCAAACATCATTTCCTGAGGGAAGTCTTTTTGAGTCCTCAGACTCTGTCATGTACACCTGGGATACAATTTCATGGTTTCCTGTTCCTTTTCTTCACAGCACTTCTCTGTGTTTATGATTCTATATATTTCGGGATTATTCCATCAAGGTTGGTCTCCAGTAGAATATGGCTCCACAAGGACAGGGCTAGTGACTGTTTTCATCCACCGGGGCTAACACAAAGTAGGGGCACGGAAAATGTTTGATGATTTAATGAATGAATGCAGACTAACTGGAGAGAAAAAGTCTTCAGAAAAAGCTAGAAGTCACATTCTGGCTGGCAGGAAAGCACCAGAACAAGAGCCACCCAACAGGAAGTGGGGAAAGAGAAGAAAAGATGGAGACTGAGAAGAGGAATAAGTAAGGATCCCTTCTTTGGGAAATGCAGGGAGGGGTGGGTTTGGAGGACAGCCAGTCGTTGGTGTCAAGTAGTATGACATCTGGGGCAGCCAGGGATTGGGAACACAGTTCACAGATCCAGGAGGGCAGGAAATAAAATGGCCCCAAGGGAGAGATCTGGCCAGGACACCAGGGAAGCTACTATAACAAGAGAGGGAGACTGAACCTTCCCAAGTGGATTGACAGGTATTCCTACAATCAGAATGCTGACAGAGCGAGGGGAAGGCAGCTTTGCCAACATCTTATCCTAAGCTATGGTTGTTTGTTCTAACAAGAAATGCAAATATAATTCTATAGGAAGAGCTCCAGTCTGTGTTCTGATATTTACAGAAGAGCCCAGAGAGACAGGGAATCCACCAGCCTAGGAAATTTCTGGGTATTTAAGTACTTGGGGAAATTGAAGTGGAAAAGCTCTGTGATCAAGAATGTGAGGGTGGCATTGGAGCAGCCTTCCAACTGCTCTGTAACCCCAAGAAATCCTCCAGAACTATGGCCTGAGACACAGTCAGGAGTTGGTCCCATTAGCTGCTGATGAATGGTGGGGCTGAGATTTGAATTCCTGTTTGACTTAACACTATGCTGTTCAAAAGACAAATGTCCAAGAATACTGATGCTCTCAGGAAGCTGGCAATTCCCAGGTACCACGCTGATTCACTTATACTCTGTCTGGGTACAGGAAGGACTCAGCCAAATTTGTAATTTGATTATTGCAAATTACATCCTAAAAGCATTTTGTCTTTATTCCCTCCCCACCCTTCCCACCCCTTAGCCCCTCTTTCCCTGTGACTTGGGTAATTACAAAGCTCTCACCCTTTCCACCTCCCTCAGCACCATCCGTTCCCACAAAGCTGGGCACCAAAACTCGAGGTCACCTCCCGACAGGACATGGCAGGGAGCCTGCTGCCACCACTACAGTTTCCCTGCAGCTTCCTCCCAGCTGCTGAAGGGCATCCGTTAGCCCTGCCTGTTTTCTGCCAGGCCATGCTGAAGGACACAGCAACCTGAACTTCCCCACCCCAACCTCTGGGAGATCATGTCTTAGCCTGGTTTCATCCCTACCCACTGCAGCCAGAGGACCCGGCTCTCCATCTTCCCCCAGGCAGCCTCCCACTTCCACTGGCTACCTTGGTGAGAAAAGGTCATGAGTGAGGAATCTAGGAGAAGGCAGAGGAACCAGCACAACAACCTCCAGAGGCCGCCTGGCTCACAGTCACAGGAGTCACGGACCGATTCTGGACCGAGTGGCCTGCAGTCACTGCTGTGACCTTGCAGGCTTCACTTCTGTTTGAGGTTCAAGATTCTTATCTCTAAGGGGAGGGTAGGACTAGACCAGGGGTGTTTTCACCTGTGGGTCTGCAAAGGCCAAGGCTCTCTCACAATGGCTCTGGGGCAGGGGTTCTGGAACCCTGGGAAATGAGGTCCAAAACCTTGGGTGTAGGTATACACAGTTTCTTTCTCTCTGAGAGTGGGTTTGGGACTTTTAACAGACTGTCAAAGGTAGTGTCGGAACCGCTTTGGGGGGCCTGTTCCAACTCTGGATAATTATCCAACTGGGCCCAGGCACAGGGATATCTCTTTTATTTGATTAATTAATTTATTTTTGAGATGGAGTCTCACTCTGTTGCCCAGCCTGGAGTGCACTGATCGAATCTCAGCTCACTGCAACCTCTGCCTCTTGGGTTCAAGCTAATCTCCTGCCTCACCCCCCTAAGAGGCTAGGATTACATGCGTATGCCACCATACCCGGCTAATTTTTGTATTTTTAGTAGAGACAGGAGTTTCACCATGTTGACCAGGCTGGTCTTGAATTCCTGACCTCAAGTGATCTGCCCGCCTCAGCCTCCCAAAGTGTTGGGATTACAGACGTGAGCCACCATGCCTGGCTAGATATCTCTTGTAAACTCCTTCCCTGCCCTCTCTCCTACCCCTCCACAATTTTCCAAATAGCAGGATTATTTATTGCCCCATCTTCTCTTTTCCCTCTTCAGCCCCCTTACTCAGGAAGGCTCCTCAGAAAGGAATTGGCTCAAAGGAAGGGAGGGGACATCACTCCAAAGAGATGGCCCTACCCTGCTTGGCTCCTAAGGAGATGGGCTGTCAACCCACAGAGCCCCAGCCTGGGAGCCCCTGCAGGAAGCAGCCCTGTCCACCCACCTGCCAGGTGCCACTGGGGACGTGATGCTGACTCAGCCACAGACCCTGCCCTTCAAGGATGTAGCAGGAAGATGAAACACATCTGCAGAAACGTTACCAATGGAGGGGCCATAACAGAGAGGCAATATGTGATCAGGGCTTAGGGGAGGGTGATCTATCCTGTTAGGGACCAAGAAGACCTTACTGAAAAGAGAGCTTGGAAGGAAGAGAGATTTCGCTGGATAGGAGGCAGCTGAGAGGAGTGCCATGTCGGGCCACGTGAACCCAGAGAGACCACAGGAATAGCTCCAGCTCCACAGATGGCAAGCTGTCCTCTGAAGGGTAGAGGGCAGGGTGGCTGGGATTGGGCAGAGGCTGGAGTAGTCCAGGAAGAGAGAGGTGGGCACACTGGATGGAAGAGAGGGAGCTGGAAGGCCAGGGAGAAAAAGGACGACTCTGCGGGGCCTGCTGACAAGACAGGTTTGCAATACACCGAAGACTGACAAGACGGGAGAAACAGCAGGCACCAAGGAGCTGCTGACAGCTCCGGCCGAGCCCTTCTCATCCATTCCCCAGCCCCAGGAGGGAACCAGAGTTCAAGTCAGGTGAGGGCTGGCCTTTACAAAGAGATGAACACAGGGAGACCATTAAGATCTCAGTCTGCTAAGGACATCCTTCACATCCACCCATCGCATGCCCCTGGACTACTCCTCAGTTTTGTGAGCCTCTAGGTACCCCAACGGCCAAGAGAGTCCCTTCTGAAGGCACAACCCAGACCTCAGGCCACGCTGTCAGTCTCTGGGGTTGGAAGCTCATAGTCATAGGGCTCCAGGGGAACATCGTGTCTTCCAGAACCAAGGAGGATGAGAACTAGTTGAAAGGACCTCCATTCAGATCATCCAGCCAACTCCAGAAATGAATTATGGAGTGTGGGCATGTGGCCTGGACTGTATCTCCAATCTCCCCTAACAGCATGGAAACAGCTGCAGCAACATAAATTACTACCATACTAACCAATGTTTGTTCTCTTAGTATTTCCTTCCTCCTCTCCCAATTTCAAGGACACAGCAAGAGTTTGTGCTTTCTCGCCCTTGCTAAAATCAGGTACTACTGGAAACAAACTTGCCTTTCTACTTTCTGTTCTCTGAAGGACAAAGCTCCCAATTGGGGTGCTGGTATATGAGTATGAGGAGGGAGGGGGTCAGGGATGGAAGAGAAGAGACTTCCCTAGTCACGGACAGGAGAGGGACCCCTTGTGCCCTGGGGAAGAGACAGGTCTCAGAAAGAATGGTTGTGGGGTGCTCTTTGGGAAGTTGAACTAGAGGGACCAGGACTCCCAGCCTTGAAAATGTTCTGATAACCATGTACGGCATGAGGACAGCAGCCACCAGCTATCTGTGGACCACAGGGACTTGGACAAGGACAAGTCTATTTCTATTTCTACTCTATTTCAGATGTGACTAGAGTAGACCAAAGGCTGGAGGGACCTTCCCTGCCATAATTCACCAAGATCTTTGCCCAACCCTTTCATGGCAGTTGAGAGAGTAGTGAAAATCCTAATAATGCCTGAATTAAATTTTTTGGCATCCTAGCAGGTTGGACTCTCTGAGCCAGATTTAATTTCGTTTAAAGGATCTAACAAAATTCGACATTTCTTTCCCATCCCACGATGTGACTGCAAATATATTTCCATAAACACAAGAGGAGGGGGAATACACTATGGAATTGCAAATGTCTTCATTTTCTTAAGAAAAAAAGCTGGAATAAAAATTGTTTGGATTCCTTTTTTATAACTGAAGACAAAAAATACTGCACAGTCAACAAATGAGGTTCCTGATACTGTCTTTACAGAGTTGATGTGCTGTGAAAGTCCCTACCACCAGCTGATAAGGGAACAAAATAAAGGGTTTAGCTCCCCCTTTTTTTTTTGCAAGAAGAGTATGCCCTTTTCAATAGTGGACTTTTAATTTTTTTATTTCATTTTAGTAATTTCTTTCTGTATCTATTTTTTTTTTAGATGGAGTTTCGAGACAGCACGATCTCAGGTTACTGCAATCTCCGCCTCCCAGTTTCAAATGATACTTCTGCCTCAGCCTCAGAATAGCTGGGATTACAGGTGTGTGCCACCATGCCAGGCTAATTTTTGTATTTTTAGTAGAGACAGGTTTTCACCATGTTGGCCAGGCTGGTCTCAAACTCCTGACCTCAAGTGGTCCAGCCGCCTTGGCCTCCCACAGGGTTAACAGGCGTGAGCCACCGCGCCCGGCCTCTTTCTGTATCTGTTGCAAACAAATAATGACTCTTTTATAACACTGTAAGATGGAAAAACAATGTTACCTTTACCTCTAGGTTTAAGAGAACTGCTTGTAGCCATGAAACTTTTTTATCTAGAAAAAGGTATTAGCTGATGAAATATCTTTCTGTTATTTTTCACTTAAAATATAAATGACATCATTAATGCACTTTTTTTCTTTCCTCTATTTGTGCTCCAGAATGCTAAGACAAATTCAGAATGGCATTTATTTCTCTTGCACAAAAGTTGAATGAGCTAAATTGTGGAGAAATTTTAAAGATATTGGAGTGCCTCTGGTAGTTTCTAACTTGAAACACAAGCCATCTCTGCTGGCATCTCCTTGTGCCCTCTCTGGGAGGCTGGCCAGTACTGCAATAGCGGATCAAGTGAAGCAGTGTAGCTCTTACCTGCAGATGGGGGGCCTGGGGGCCCTGGGGAGCCTGGACGGCCAGGTTGACCAGAAGGCCCAGGCTTGCCGGGTGGGCCCATGACTCCACTATCCCCTTTCTGTCCCTGACAGAGAGAAAGGCAGAGCCTGTTATGAAAGCATGACATAGCAAGCTTCCTGCCCCATTTTGTCACTAAATCAGAGATCACCTTGCACTTAAGGAGAGCCCAGTGGGTGATGCAGCTCCAGAGGGCTTGACCATCAATCAAGCTCCTAAGAAGCTTGGGGCAAGTGACAATTGAGATAATGATGGTTACAAATTTGCAGACCTTAGTTCTTGCTCTGTCCTAGAAATGTGGCACATGGCGGCTAAAAGGAACTAGTCCAATCTACTCCAGGCCCCAGGCGGATGAGGAAATGGAGGCCTAGAAAAGAGCTATTTTCACTCATTGGCTTCCCATTGTCTCAGAATTAGCTCCTTACTGCAGCCTGTGAAGCCCCGCATGGCCAGGCTTTCCAGCCTTATTCCAGCCTTTCGGTCTTTTTGGTCTTCAAGAGCACCATGTCCATTATCTCCCTTCTCAAGACCCTTCTCTTTGCCCCAAACCCTCCTCCTTCCCCACTGCCTAGTTAACTGGCACTCACCCTTTGGCTCTCAACTCAAATGCCCTTATTATGGCAAAGCCTTCCCTGACCTTCCTGGGCGGAGTCAGTTCACCCCACCATAAGCTCTCATAACTCAGCCTGTTTCCTTCATGGCGTTTATCCCAGATCATAGCATATGGATTATTTGTGTGGTCATTTCATCAATATCTCCCCATGAGACATACGCTCCCTATGGACTGGAATTTGTCTAGCTCACCTCCTTTCCCCAGATGAAATGAGGGAGGAGAAAGACGCTAGAAACACAAAGATAGGCAGCTTTGCTGATCTGTAAGTCCAGAGGTTTCACCTTGACTATGAGACTCCAGGTAACTCATGTCATTGCTTTGTAACTCAGTTTTGTCATCTTTAAAATGGGGCCAGTAAATTTACACCCACATAGGTTTGCTATGAGACTAACAAAGATCTCAGAGGTGAAAATGTGGTTTGCACACAATGAAGAGCTATGTGGGGCAAGCCAATTATCACTGCAACTGGCCTGGTTCCATCTATTTCACGCAGTTAAACAAGTCCTGATTTTATTTAAAAAAGGCACACCTGTGGCTACAGCTGTTCCACACGGAGTGTCGTCTTTGCTGCCTATTTCGGAAGCATCATGAGCAAAGACTGGGCTCTTGGTTCTCCCTCTGGGTTGCCCTTAGGAGTCACACCGAAGCCATGGCTGCTGCATGCTGTCCACTGTTCCCCTGAGCAATTTGCTAACTGTCCATTCTTGCCTCAGGCCTAATCAAAGCCATGATTGATACCTCACATTTTTGGCCTGGTTCTTCCTACTGCACTTGTGCCTTGGCAGACTTGCTCTGATGAAATATAATCTTCCTCAAATCTGGGGAGCAGGCATGCCAGGGACTCCTTTCCAGCTACAATGGTGACAGGTGACCTGCTGCCTTGTCCACATTACACTGGGGGCCCTCTCAGCAATGTTCAAGGAGTTCTTGCGCTCTCAATATGGGACCTGGGAAGTCAGAGTTTATTTCTGCTTCCATGTTTACAGAGGGAGTTCTTAAGCCTCAGCCCAAACTGAAGCATTCCCTGCAGTAACGAAGCTGGGTCCCAGGATGGCAAAGGAAGTCACACTGTCTTAATATAGCCACAGTTCAGGCTTGTTTTTCTAATGGCCATGTCAGCTGGTTCTGAGCACAGGAAGTGCCAAAGCTTGAAGGAGGTGGAAATGCTCCTTGATTCTGACACCAGCAGTAATGGAATATTCCGCTTATCAGTCATTGCTCAGAATGAGCCACGTCTCTATCAGCAGAACTCACTGAGCAGAGCTTTCCAGGAAAGACATTCTTAATTCTTATTTGCCACAAAGTTGGGTGATTTCTCTCAAGGAAATTGTTTCTTAGTTACTAAAGCTTTTTTTTTTTTTTTTTTTCATTTTAAACAGACATTGCAGAAGAGGATTTTTTTTTTTTTTTTTTTTTTTTTTTTTTTGAGAGAGACAGAGTCTTTCTCTGTAGCCCAGGCTGGACAGAGTCTTGCTCTGTCCCCCAGGCTGGAGTGCAGTAGTGCGATCTTAATTCACTGCAACGTCCACCTCCTGGGTTCAAGCTATTCTCCTGCCTCAGCTTCCCAAGTAGCTGGAACTACAGGCATGTAATACCATGCCCAGCTAATTTTTATATTTTTTAGTAGAGATGGAGTTTTACTATATGTTAGCCAGGCTGATCTCAAACTTCTGACCTCAGGTGATCCACCTGCCTCAACCTCTGAAAGTGCTGGGTTATAGGCACAAGTCACTGTGCTAGGCCAAGATTTTTAAAATAAAGTCAACAGCCACTTTTCTGGGCTTGCCTGAAGTCAAGTCCTGAGGCATGAAGGTAAGAGAAGAAGTGATGTGGGGAAAATTGGTCTCAACTCAACACTCTAGATTCTAACCCTGGCCATGAAACTAGCTGAGCGGAGGGGTCTTGGGCAAGCAAATCCACCTCTTTGGCCCTCAGCTTCCTTGTGAATAATCTGAGGAGACTGGGTTAAGTGGTCTCTGTAATCTTCTGGCACAGAAATTACTATCTGAAATTCCTTCTGAATTTCTGATTTTTGGCTTTGGATTGACTTAACAATAACTTGCAGAGACTCTCAGCACTGCTGGCCCAACAAACAAAGAGTATGTGAGAATCTATGCTGGGATATTAATTCATGATAAAAACAAAGTACCCCGGCAGGCTTCTAAGGCTAACAACTCGTTACCTGCCGACTGGAACAGCACCAATACCAAGGGTTTTCAGCATACCCGGGTTGTTTGCGACGTCTTGTTGAAAACGTGGGCTCATTTCTCTAACTTCTCTGAGCTCCCAGATGTGGTTTTGGTGTAGCTTTTACGATTCCAATGGAATCAGTCTCAGCAGGCTCAAGAAATGGCCTTCCTGGCTTTGGTTATCACCAAGAACAAGGAAAAGACAAATACTGTCCGAGACAGAAGGAAGCCAGGAGGCTTCTTGAACCCAAGCTTAAAATATTATGGATGGAAATCATTAGGAGGGGATAAAGTGATATTAGAAAAGATTTCTCCCCTGTTTTTTTTTTCTTTTTTATCTGAGCCTACTTTTAAGAAATTGCTATCTGTGGCATCGTTGTGAAACCATTACCATGTTACTCATGATCAAACTTTGAAAACGACTGGAAGACTGTAACTTCAAAAGTTACTGTGCAGTCTAAATTATCCAGGTTGGAGCCTGTGTTCTTTCTAACTTGACTGGGAAAAGACCAGAATTGGCTTCATAGTGTTATTATGGTTCTGAACCCTGGCTGCACATTAGAATCACATGGAGCTTAAAAAAAATAGCCAAACCCATGCTGAAAGCTCACTCCAGGTCTTTGGAAAATAAGGCCTAGATACCGGGGGCAAGGAGTAGCAAACTTGGTACTAAAACCATTGCTCCTGATGTGGGGGAAGCTGCACATCTGTATTCAGTCACCGGCCCCACCCGAAGGTGATCTTGATGTAAGATTAAGTTTGTGGGCCACAGACCTAGCTTAAGGAAATAATTAAAAGAATGGGAAAAGCTTCCATCCAAAGATGTTTACCTCTCAGTATTATATATAAGACACCCAAGGCTGTCTCTAGAGCAGTCATGTCACATCACATGGCTTAACACAAGAGCCTGCTGACCAGAGGGAGTTCAGAATGAACAACTGCCTTAAGCGCATTAAGAAACCCAAGAAAAATGGTCACTTACAGATTGCAGGCCTGAGTAGGGGAAAACCACCCTATCGTTGAGACCCAGAAGACCCCTCAACAGCAGGAAAATACCTAGGCTCATCTTCAAAACTCCATTTGTGTCTGGGACACTGAAGCATAAAATAGGTTTTCTGGGTAAATGACCATATCTGGCTTCCACTCCTAGCTGCTTTGGTTGAGACAGCCTTGTTCTTATGAACCAAATATCCACTCTTGCTTCTGGCCTTGGGCACAGTTTGAATGGAGCATTGTATCTCATCCACTTCAAACTATGGCTAGCCCAGAAATGCCAGCAGCTTCTGGAAGCGATGCTGCTCCTGTCCGCTAGCCCAGAGGACATTGGAGTCTAGGTCTACAGAATATCTCTGATTGACACCACTTGCCTGCCACTCCACACACCCCGCCCCCTCCAGGTCAGGAAGTTCTGACCTCAGGCAGGTGGTAAGCCCTGGGATCCTTACCTGCTTGCCTCGTTTTCCTGGTCTTCCTGTGGGTCCTCGGTGTCCTGCTATCCCAGGTTCACCCTTTGGACCCATTTCACCCTGGCAAGGGGAAAGAAAAGCAAGAGAGGAATTAGGGCATGTGGAGCAGGCACATCTACACAGGTCTAGCCAGTCATTGGCTACAAGGGCAGTCTACCTGATTCTTCCGAATATATTCCAACTGGGCTTCCCTGGAAGGTTGGGAGAGTGATGAAGTCATGAGAAAGGTAGACTTGTCTTTCGACGAAGAGGAGGGAAGGAAGAAGGTAACTCTGAGTGGGTTATCTGTTATCTGACAGGGACAGCTGTGGAGCAGCACACATTTTGATGGCCAAACAGGAGAGACAAACCATCACCCAGAAGAGACAGTGGAAGGCTTGGGCATCCAGCACAATGTGCCTGTGTGACTTACTACAAGCTGTTTAGGAATACGCTTTCCCTTCTAGTTAGAATTTTATGTTGTGCTTTGTTATGTCTCGTTTTTAGCACAAATTTAAATATGGAGGTTTTTAAATGACTGGACACAGTTCTGCCAACTGTCATCTTTGGGAAGTTTCTGCTCATTTAATGACTCTTACTTAGAATCACGTACTTGCCCACTCTTAGTAAGCACTGGTTTGAGTTCCAGCTTACTTCCATTTGATTTGGATGAAAGCTCTTTTGTGGGGAGAGATGTTCCAAACATATGTTCAAATATTCAATGTAATTATTGAAAAAGGCATAGAGAACAATAGCAACAATATTCCTATTTGAAAAGCTCTGTGTTCAACTATCCAAACCAAATATACTCGGGCCGGGCGTATTGGCTCATGCTTGTAATCCCAACACTTTGGGAGGCCAAGGGGGGCAGATCACCTGAGGTCGGGAATTTGAGATCAGCCTGGCCAACATGGTGAAACCCCTTCTCTACTTAAAAAAAAAAAAAAAAAAAAAAAAAAAAATCAGTCGGGCGTGGTGGCACATGCCTGTAATCCCAGCTACTCGTGTGAGGCAGGAGAATTGCTTGAACCTGGGAGATGGAGTTTGCAGTGAGCCAAGACTATGCCATTGCACTCCAGCCTGGTTGACAAGAACAAAACTCTGTCCCCCGACTCCAAAAAATTGTACCCATTGCAGAATTTTGTAGCTTTAAGGCCAATATTTCACAAAACCCATTTTTCCATCTTAGTTTATCTCTCTCTTCCCCATGTTATTCTTGGACTCCAGCCCCACTTACTGTTTCTTTAGGTTATGAACCCACAGCGTACTTCATATCTCCAGTAATCCCCCAACAGCCCAGACTGTGCCACCAACAAGATAAATTTAGCAATAGCAACCATGAGTATCCGTTAGTCAGCAGCCAGTGCCCACGAAGAGCTGCCCAGCTACTCAGAGAGAACAATAAACATCCAGGCACTTTTTCACATGGGGGTCAGAGGAGGTATAACACAATGGAAAATTCCAGGGAACACCTGTATTTGGAAAGGATCAAGCGTAAAGCTCTGAAATTATCTGTCAGCTCAGCCAGTGTTTCCTTACCCAAGCCACCAGTATCTTGTTTCACCAAGAATTGTCCTTAAATGTATTATTTTTTTCCAACCCACACATCCTTCAACATTCTCTATGGAATGGGAGACTGTGAGAGGACAGGATGGATGCCGCACGGCCATGGAGATGATTGCAGCTTTCCCTTGGCTGTTTAGAGAGGCTCGGGATGTAGGTTTGGCTGGGAGAAAACAATAACACAGCAGCATTTTTTCCCCAGATATTGTCAGAAGGAAGTGTGGCCCTTCTCTCTATCAGCTGGAAGCAGTCAGGAATTCCTTGATCTAATTTCTTTCCCAAGACCTAATTATGGTCATCATATCAGCCCTGTCTTAAAACAGCCTGTCATAAAAGGGGAAGACAACTCTTTAGATGGGAAGTCTAGTAAATGGTGCAGAGGGCAGAGGAGCCGCCATACTTAATTTACAGTAATTTATTATGCTTTGATGTTCACTGTTGCCCTGAATGAAAAGCTAGTCTAAATATTTTTAAGTAAAACTGTTTTTTCTCTTTTAACACTTCTTTTAATTTGCTTATATAATTAATCTATTTTTTTTAACCCAACACCCTACCTGAAGCAGCAAAGTATAGTTTCTGACAGCTTAAGGTGGTGATATAATACATTAATGCAGGATGATTGAAAATATTTAAGCATGTTCCACTGACTAGAAAAGGTCAGATAAAAATTGTCTTAGTTTGGGAAATAAAACTTTAAGGTGAATTTTAAAAATCAAAAATACTAACAAAGCATCCCCTTTGCATGCTTGAAGAATATGATGGTTTGAGACCTAGGTTAAAATAACAATTTCCAATGTCAGCGTCTCACGTTGTGAGGCACCAGCACGATGTTAGCTTAGGAGCTGTTCCAAATGGATATGTACGCACTTCCCTCTCTTTATTCTCTCACATTCCCCCTCACCTACTCTTGTTCTTCTTTCCCAACTCTAACTCTCAGTAAAAGTTTCACAAAATCTGTTGGTCAACAGTCACCTTCATAATTTTTTTTGTCTCTATATACAACTGTTTTTGCTATTTACTGAATATTTTTTCTTTTTCTTTTTTGTCTTTGCAGAGACATGGTCTTGCTCTGTCGCTCAGGCTGGAGTGCAGTGGGGTAATCTCAGCTCACTGCAGTCTCAATCTCCTGGACTCAAGCAATTCTCCCACCTCAGCCTCCTGAGCCGCTGGGACTACAGACATGTGCCACCATGAACTGCTAATTTTTTTCTTAAGAGATGGGGTAGCAGTATATTGCCCAGGCTGAACATTTTTTTCTTTAAGTTACCTGAACAGATTCCTTTTTTATTAAGCCCTGTTGCAAGCAAGAGATCCACTAAATATTTAACTACTTATTTTTTGAGACAGGGTCTGGCTCTGTGGCCCAGGCTGGAGTGCGGCGGTGCGACCATGGCTCACTGCAGCTTTGATTCCTGGGCTCAGGCCACTCTCCCGCCTCAGCTTCCTGAGAATCTGGGATTACGGGTACGCACTACCATGCATAGTTTTGTATGTTTTTCTTGGTAGAGATGGGATTTCACCATGTTGCCCAGGCTAGTCTTGAACTCCTGGGCTCAAGCCATCTGTCCACCTTGGCCTCCCTAAGTGCTGGCCAATATTTAACTATTTAAATACAAAATTTAACTATAAAAAAATGTTAGCAGTCTTCAGGTCAAATACTTTTGTGTCCTTCTGGCAGTATGTGCACCACCCTTGAGGAAGGACTGCAATAAGGCATGATAACCTTCAGCTAAAGACACCTGGGCCTTACACTGGGGCCTGTGTGCTGAGAAGGACTTTGACCCTTGTAGCTAAGATCTGAGTCCCTTTTGAGAAAGGTTTCTGCATTTTAATATGACCACAGCCCTATAAGAGGTAGGAAAAGGAAAAAAGCAAAAACAAAAAACAAACAAACAAAAACCACACACACACACACACACACACACACACATACACAAAATCCAAAACCCAGAAGGGTTGTCCTTTCCTTCCCATTGAGCTGGAGGGAGGCCCCAGACCATCCTGCCACCCTCTCCCCAGGGTGAAAGGCAACTTGCTTCCCACCCCAAACTAGAAGTTTCCATGGTTAAACCCACCATCCCTCCTGCTAACAAGGTGCTTGCAGGACCTCATATTTTTACTGAGGCCTATTTTCACTACCTCAAGGTTACTTACTTTCTGCCCCAACATTCCAGGAAATCCCGGGAAACCCTGTGAAAAGAGCAACAGATATTATTACTGCCTCTGAAATAAAACTGAAATAGCTGTGGATGGACTTGGTCGGTCATTTTCAAGATGGAGGCCTCTCCATCAGTCCATCTTCAGTCCACAGATAGGGGTGGGGGGGGACTGCCTCTTGCATTGACATTTATTATTTCTATGGAAAGGTTTTCTCCATTACCTTTTCTCCTTTGGGACCCAAGTCACCCTTTTCACCTCTGGATCCCTAGGAAGAAACCACAGGAGAAAAAGTCAATGACTTAATATCCTGGGAGGGAAATTCAGGCATTTCAAACTGAAAAACTCCTTAAACCAAAACCCTAATTTTACAAGTGAAGAAACAGGCTCAGAGATGTCAGGTGACTTGTCCAGGGAAGGAATGCTTTGTGATCTAATTTTTGTTGAACCCAGAAGATCTCTTGCATTCATAAAGCACAACTCACAGAAAATTCTGGGCCCCAAATCCTCTCTCATCCCATAGGAAATTTGTCCACAGGTTGATGCTGGTTTTTATTTGTTTTCCTGGCCATGTCAGAAGGTTGTGTGGTGACAGCTTGGCCTAAAGACATGCATCACCAATTTCCTCCAGCACTCTGTGCAAACTGTGCCTTTTCTCTACCTGGCACGGCCTTCATTTGCTTATCTGCTCCACATGAGGGGCCTCTGCCGCGACGGGGAGCCCTTCTCTTACAGGTCTGCCCTGGATCAGGAGGTCTCTCACTTCTCTCAGTCCACTGGCAAAAGGGGAGGGAATAGCTAGGAATGGTGGCTTCAGTTGCCGACTAAAGAGAGGCCTGGGCCCATCCTCTGTACATCTGATTCCAAAGCCAGTAGCTCAGACCAGGCTCTGGGATACCATCCAAGAAAAGCACTAACCTTTTCCCCTCTGGATCCAGGATAGCCCTAAAAGAAAGGAGAAGGTACATTTACAATCAGCCCTGTAGGACTTTTGAGTTTGGTGCAAGAAGAGAGGGAATCCCTGAATGTGGTGATAGGTGTGTCTCCACATTGCACTGTTTTAGTGGGGCTGCAGCACTAAACACAAAGATGTCCCAGAGGGTTGTGTTTATACCAGGCTTAAAGGGAACATTGCTTTCATCACCCTGCAAGGCCTGATCAAAGGTTTCCATCTGCTCTGATGTCCAGAAACTTGGTTCTTCCTGTCCAGGAGAATAGTGGGAATGGTATCCCTATGTCCCTGCATCCCAGGGCATGATATTCTCCAAAGTACTGGTAAAGGCAAGCACCCTGGCTGGTAAGGGCAGGCTCTCCAATATCTGTGACATTCCCTAGTTCACGACTGCTGCCTCACTCAGTCCCTATGTTTGTAGACAGCAGCTGCTTCAGAGCCTTACTGAGAAGATCTGGAACGTCCATCTGGATCACACACTGACCTTGGAGCCCATTGGTCCTCTTGATCCTGGCAAGCCCATCATACCCAGGTCACCTTTTTCACCCTGTGGGAATTAGAAGAAGAAAAGACCCACAGTCCCACAGTGACATTTCTTAGAGAAATGGAGCCAGGAGAGTCACAGGCAAGACTGGGAAGGAACTGGGGATATCAGGGATGGCTTGTTAACTGGAAGACCCCAGATGCACCCACTTTCTCCCTCCCAGGGTCCTGAAGCTCCATACTCTACATTTCATTCTTGTGTTTAAGATTAAATATAGGGCCGGGCGCGGTGGCTCAAGCCTGTAATCCCAGCACTTTGGGAGGCCGAGGTGGGTGGATTACAAGGTCAAGAGATTGAGACCATCCTGGTCAACATGGTGAAACCCCGTCTCTACTAAAAATACAAAAAATTAGCTGGGCGTGGTGGCACGTGACTGTAATCCCAGCTACTCAGAAGGCTGAGGCAGGAGAATTGCCTGAACCCAGGAGGCGGAGGTTGCAGTGAGCCAAGATCGCGCCATTGCACTCCAGCCTCGGTAACAAGAGGGAAACTCCGTCTCAAAAAAAAAAAAAAGATTAAATATAAAATGAAAATGCCCAAGTTGAAGCAGATATCCACACCAACTGCTCACTAAGATGTTGTAAGTGGTAGTACATAGTATTTTCCTAGTGAGGATAGTGAGAGAGTAGTGAAGGAGGCATGAGAGAACTGGGGCCTCAGAAAACAAGGTGTCAACACATGTAAAAAATTTGCCTGCTTTGCTCTTTGCATAGGAAGGCTCTTCAGAATGATTTGTAGTTGGGACTTCCAGCACTCACCCTCTGTACTGAGAACACTTTATACCAGTACTAACCAATAGAAATATAAGGTGAGCCACATACTTAATTTTAAACTTTTAAAAGAAGTCACCTTAAAGAAAAAGTAAATGAATGAAGTTAATTTTAATAGATCTTATTTAATCCAATTAATTTAATCAACATAACATGTAATCTATATAAATATTATTGAGATATTTTACATTGTGTTTTTCTTTTCTTTTCTTTTTTTTTTTTTTTGAGACGGAGTTTCACTCTTGTTACCCAGGCTGGAGTGCAATGGCGCGATCTCGGCTCACCACAACCTCCGCCTCCTGGGTTCAGGCAATTCTCCTGCCTCAGCCTCCTGAGTAGCTGGGATTACAGGCACGCGCCACCATACCCAGCTAATTTTTTGCACCTTTAGTAGAGACGGGGTTTCACCATGTTGACCAGGATGGTCTCGATCTCTTGACCTCGTGATCCACCCGCCTCGGCCTCCCAAAGTGCTGGGATTACAGGCTTGAGCCACCGTGCCCAGCCACATTGTGTTTTTCATAATAAATACCTGAAATCTGCTATGTAATTTACATTTAAAACACATCTCCATTCAGTTGCTAAATTTTTATCCAAAATATTTTATCTATATTTAGAGATCATAAAATTTATAGTTGAAAAAGCAGATTCATACATTCAAGTTGCTCCAAACATACTTTAACATTTTCAAATAACTGAATTTAGTAAAGATTTTGAAATTCAAACAGTTAAAATTTAAAAATTAAGTTCCTTAGTAGCACTAGCAACATTCCACGGGCTCGAGGGTTACATGTGGCCACTGGCTGTTGTGCTGGACAGCTCAACTCTATGCAGAGGATTTTTAAAACATCCTTGGGACTTTTCCTAAGAGGACTAGAAACACAGTTTTCCACAGCCATGATAAAGCTAGTAAATGAATCAGAGCAGATGGTGAAATCTATCTGTCCAGCCCTGACTTCTGCAGATAAAACTCCAAGTCACGGCCTCTGAACCCTCTAGTCTATGGCTACTAATGAGAAAAACAGAGGCACCAACGGAGGCGTGCTTGCTTTCCATACCCTGAGTGAGGAAGGGGATTTCATCAGCACTCAGCAATCCCTCTCTGGATGTAGGATTTCCATCCTTCAGCCAGGCACCACCACCCCCTCCGCTCTCCATTCCCTGCCAAGTCAGCATGACAGGCAAGAGCTTCCCAGACGTAAGCCCCTCTTAGGTCATCTAAGGGAAACCAAAGTGGGGTGCTAGTTCTCAGGACAAAGGAGAACCATGGCCTCTGTAAAAGAGGGGAGCAGCCCCCTATTTCTCCTCCCACAGGAGCAGAGCTGTTGCACTGACCAAGGTCTTGCAGGCCAAGTGAAGGAGGAAGTGTCTGCGGCCCTGTGGCCAGTCCTTAAGCTCTCTTCTCTTCCCTGTCTTGAGGGATTCCCTGACTATGTGCCAGAAGCCAGGGAAGCTGCCATCTTCCCCCCCTCTTGTTTTGACACCACATGAGCTCCAACAGCATGCCACACTTACCCTAGGTCCTTCAGGGCCCGGCCAACCGATGGGCCCAGGCATGCCAGGAACACCTGGGGGGCCAGGTCTACCCTTCAAAGACCAAGAACAAAAGTCAGGGCAACTGGGCTTGTTTCATTACTTCCAGTAAATACGTTTTGTCACACTGTGTCACCAAACGAGACCTTATTCTTCTCAAGAAATGGAGGGTGGTGAGAAAGGGATTCTAAACTTCTTGGTTTTTCAGGTTTTATCACTCTACCCACCCCCACCCCAAAATCCCCTGTGTTCCAATGGGTTCTTCCCAAGGACATGCTATGGAATGAGACAGGATGACATTTGGGGAGCAGCAGCAGATGCTGTTGGCACTCTTTCAAGGTCTTTTTGACCTGCTCAGATTGCCCATTGCCCAGAGGCTACTTTCCTTGCTGCTAACAGCTCATTCCTGCAACTCATAACTGCGGTTTGCCTTGGGCAATGGAACTGCCCAGTAATTTATGTAACTCCCCTTCCTGCAGCCAATAGCCCAGCTCCCTTACCTTTGGGCATTTTATACTATCAAGCTCTCCTTAGGGATCAAACTGCTATAGCTGTACTTCACCTGATACCACACCCTTGCTTGGCTTCTCCCACTCCTCCTATAGCCTCCTCCTGAGAGTGACCCCATAATAATGTATTCACTTGCACATGGTACCTGTCACCTCTGTCTCTGCCTAAGCCAGGGCTATGGAAGAGCTAGCCCTGCAAGAGAGAGTGGGTGAAGGTGCTAAAGGGCCTATCTTGACCTTGCACCCATTAGCCAATTTCACAGTTAGAGATGTGAAGGGCTCAGCCCCTAAACCAGATATGCCAAATCCTTGCATGTGTACTGGTTTCTACTCTGGCCTCTCACATCCATGGCAGACAACACTAATCAATCATGGTCCTTGTAAAGTCTGAGCATGGAGACCACAGCAGAATATCCTTTGACCATTGCATGGAGACCACCCCAGCACTTCAGACAGCCGCTGTGCTTTGCTGTAGTTTTCATCTGTGCCCTAAAGAGTTGTAACTTTGTCTTTCAAAGGTCTGTTTCAGGATCTTGTTGACAATGAAACCATTTAATAAACTATTTAACAAGAAATACAGTAATTATATTTAGAGCCAGGGACATTTTTCTTGGCCAAAGTTTTGCACACCTGTCTATAACCAAGACCTAGAAATTCAGTGCCAGTATCCACTGACCTCAGCAAATAAATATAATAGCCTGCTGATTTACTCTCTCTTGACACTAATGAGAGCCTTGATAACATATGTTTGGTTCACTTAGCATCATTGTGACCTTAAGTAACCTCCATTTATTTCAGCTGAGCCAAAAAGCAAAAGCCATTTGTTTCTGTCTGCTCTGGCACTTTATTCCAATTTAATCAAACAGACAATGAGAGTCATTCTGTGTCACTGGTTGGAGCTATGGAGGGTTTCTCTGATGGGTAGCAGAACCATATGGTCTGAGGTGGGGGCAGGAAGTGAGAGGGGTGGAACCTGGCCAGGCTTGGCAGCCCCTGGAAGAAGTCTGAATGCCTGGCAGTAGCAGGCTCCTGCTTCTGACGAAAGAAGCTGGCAGAAAGGGTAAGGTTACTACTGTCACCATCAAGACAGCAGCACCATCACTGTCCACCTGGGTATGAGTAGCCACTGAAGTGCATTGTTGGTCCCCCATCCCTAGGAGCACATGCACACACATGCATGTGGAGCACAGATGCCCATGTGACACTCACAGAACAGCGCAGACCATACCTTCCTTCCTGGTCGGCCAAGCTCCCCCTAAGAATGGAGAAGACAGGTGAGGAGAGGCTGCTTTGGAAGACACATTCTGGAAGCAGAAGGCTAAGTAGAGCTGATGACTGGGCATGGCAATGTGGCTCAGTTGCTTGGCTGCTGCTCAAAGCCCTGCTGCATGTCAGTGGGCCACGTCAAAATATGCCAGTGGTATTCCACACCTGCTGCAGCAGCTCAGCCACCACGGAGCCCATCCTCTCACACCAAGGCAGAGGTAGCACATGTTTGGAAATCTCAACTAGGAAATTCTCAGTGGCACCCCCAGAAAACAGGCTGAAATTATCAAGGAAAAGAAGGGATAAAGAAAGCAGTGGTTCATACCTTTTCTCCCTTTGGTCCTGTCTTGCCAGGAAGCCCCGGTGGACCCTAATCAATCAAGATAAAAAGTGAAGAAAATACGTATCAGTGCAAAGCCAGATGGATAAGGAGGCTTTTGGTACACTGGGCTCCTACAGCAGCAGACTCATTCTCTGGGCAGATGTAGGGCTACAGGGTCCCATGGCTCTTCCTGTGCCCTCCAGCCCAGTCCCCTCCTCTGTTCTTCCTCCTCTTCAGCTTTCTCTGAGCTGTTTCCAGTGGCTCCATGGTTGCAATGCTTACATATGTACTCTCTGTGGTTTTAATTTTTTTCCCTGTAATTCTTTGTTTGCCTAAAACATCCCAAGTGTTTGTTGAGAGTAACCAAAGAGTAATGAATAAATTTCATTTGTTGAAAACAAGAGGCTTCATCACCTCTCATATCTTTTCAGTAACTCTTGCCAAACTTTCCTGGGGGTTTGACAAGAGACAAGTTAAGTTTTGCACACAGCAGCAGCTGCCACCTTAGAAATTCCCATGGTCAATCTGTGGGCCACATTTGGTCTCTGTCACAACTACTCAACTAGGTGCCAAATAATAATTTTCCTTTCTTCAGCAGGAAAAAGTCTTCTTTTCAAGACACTAAGAATGTGGGCAAATAAATAGTGCACTATTATCCCATTGGAGAGGAGCTGACTCCAGCTCAGGGACTCTACAACTCACTGCATCAAAGCTTTGCACATCCACAGCCAGAATGTGTCTATGCTCAGTCAGCTGTTCTCCAAATTCTCCAAAATAGCAGAGAGGAAATTCATCAAAATTCCCCAGGCCCCCACTGCACTCCCAGGATCTGCAGGTGAACAAGCATAATGCAAAGCCTATTTGAAATATGATTTCTACAAAACTTGTCCAAATGACAAACAGCTCCCCTCAGCCAGTGGTTCCCAAGTCTATCAGCACATTACAATTTCCTGGAGATGTTTGAAAAGTCCCACAACCCAGGCCCCATCCCAGCCCAATCAAATAACCTCAGGCTGGGTGGGGTGGCTCATGCCTGTAATCTCAGTGTCTCGGGAGGCCAACATGGGAGGATTGCTTGAGCCCAAGAGTTCGACACCAACCTGGTCAACATGGTGAGACCCTGTCTCCAAAAAATATTAAGAAATTAGCCAGGTATGGTGGCACATGAACCTGTGGTCCCAGCTACTTGGGAGGCTGAGGTAGGAGGATCACTTGGAGGCTGCAGTTAGCTGTGATCAAGCCACTGCACTCAAACCTAGATGGCACAGTGAGACCCTCTCTCTAATAATAACAATAATAATAAATAGCAATCTCAGGTGAGGAGGAACAAGCTTCAGTAATTTCTGAAGTTCCCCCAGGGAACGGTAATGTGTAGATAAGTTTGAAAACCACTATCTTTTGTTTATTTACCTTCTATTTTTGGATGGGAAAGCGGGGTGGTGTCAGGGGGGAGAGGGTGGGGGCTCATTTCATTCTCTTGATTCTTCTAAGCCTTAGTTCTTTCTGTTTCTTGAAGTGGACTAGAACTATTTCACAAGGTCACTGTGCTCTATCTCAGTGCCTCTCAAATTTTAATGTGAGGATGACTCACTCCATTCACTTGTTGGAGGGGTGGTATCTTGTTAGAATGCAGATTCTGATAGAATGAATTTGTCAGGGGGATGAGACTCTGCATTTCCAACCAGCTCCCATATGATATCAATGTTGCCGGTTCACGGACCTCACTTTGAGTAGGGGCAGCATCCACACTGTGTTCTGGCTACACAGGACCCTGCAGCTGGGCAACACAGCCTCCACGTGCTTCAGAGCGGATTGCACACGGTTAGAGATGTGTGTGACCAGAAAGCTGCTGTTCTGAGGTCAGCAGAAAACCCCCCTTTTCTTTTCTATGGTCCATGGATTCTCACATGCCTGAGACCTATTAGAGTAGACTGCTAAAGATGGGAAGATAGAAATGCACCTCCAAGGATTCTCATCTTGTTTTTCTGCAGGGTTCCCAGCTTCTTCATGGCAGCCTCTGGCCAACTCTGGGTTCAAAGTCCTGTTTTCTTTCCTGCATTCAACAAGTAATTATGGAGAACCTATCCAACCCCGTGCACAAATGTAGACAGGAAATATAATAAGTGAGAGAGATGGACAGTGTCTCCGTTCCCATTGCCCAAGGCTTGATACATGCTTTCTTTAGAAGTCTACATCGTTAATATCTTAGGATTTGTGGGCCACATTTGGTCTCTGTCACAACTACTCAACTCTGCCTTTGTCCTTCAAAAGCAACCACAGACAATAAAACTTCAACATTTTATTGAAACTTTGTCACAGGATTTGATCCAGAGGTATAGTTTGCCAACCCCTGCCGTTGAGCTTATGTTTTACAGAGGGGAGACCAGGAACAGAAAAACAAATAAGAAAACTGTAACAGGATGAGAAAATCATGCATAGAATTAAAATAGATAATTGTGGCAGAGAGTGACTGGTGGTGGGTGCAGGCAGGAGGCTACTTTAGACTAAGTGGTTGAGTGGCTGGTAGAAGGCATGTCTAAGGAGGTGGCATGGAAACTGAGTCCTGAGTGGCTACAAGGAGCTAGACAGGATAGAAACCAGAAAGATGAACATTCCAAACAGCAGGAACCGCAAGTACAAAGGCCAAAGGCCCTGTGGCTGAAGCAAGCTTGGAGTGCCTGAGGACCCAAGAGATGGTCACTCTGGCTACGTCAAGGGGACAAAAGTGGTGTAAGATGCTGTAGGAGACACAGGCTGGAGTCCCCTCCTGTGGGGCTTTGCCATACAGGTGAACCTTCAAGTGTCCAGAAGCCATAAGAGAGTTTACCCAGGTGGGTGATGTCATTTCTACGCCCCCTGCATGGGAAGGCACTTGGGGAACTAATTGCTCCCTGCACCCTCTTTGTTCCCATGGAAGGCCCAGGCTCAGCTGTCCATCACCGATGGAGCAACCTCTTGGAGGCAGGCCAGAGGGGCCAGGAGTCTGTGGGGTGGGGTCTCTGGAAGGTACTCTTGTTTGTCTAGGAATCTTTTCTCCAGCATTTTGCCTGTTCATCACTCTTCCCTGTAGCTTTGGTGGGAAGGGGTGGGCTGCTTGGGGGCCCAGTCAGGCAGGAAACAAGCTCCTCTGTGCCTCCACTTTCCTGTGCTGAGCACAGGCACCTCTGGGTCCACAGGTGGGGTCCATGGTTCCATAAGGGGCATTGCCATCAACTGTTTGTCTGATTGTAACTATAATAAAAACCACATCCATAGAGGCGGCATCCTTATTTGATTCCCTCAAAATCTAGTATTGTAGGGACAATTATTATCCCCATTGCACAGATGAGGAAATCAAGAGGAATTCTGGGAGGCCAGAATTCACCCAGCAAAGAGCTAGTGTTCTATCCATGTGGCTTTGGAACGGGAAGTAAACAAGAGAAGGAAAAACAGTTTTGCATCACATGAGAAAGGGCAGACACTAAGAAGCTCTGTGCAGTGGGCTTTCTGCTCTAAACAGAAGACAGCGAAAGGGGACCGGTAGAGTGCACCAACCTGGGGACCGGGAGGTCCAGGGGAGCCTAGTGAGCCTTGCATGCACGGAGACTGCGAGGTCTCCAGTTCCAGGATGAGATTCTTCATGTCTGGGGAGAGAAGCTTCAATACAAAGCAACACAGAGTTAGAGGTCAGGCGTGGAAGACAGAGGAAGGGTCACCATCCTGGACACAGACCTGCTCCGGGGTCAGGTCTCTAAGCCTGGCAATTCCCTGACACCCCAATGACTGCCCCAAGAAGATGACATCTTGGGCCACCAGCTTCTGTTCTCTCATCTGCTCTTGAGGCAAACCTGGCTTATATGGATTCTTGCAGACACCTTGCAGCTACTTAAGATAAAGTTAGAAAGCTCATTTCGGGGGCCTCTATCCAATGTCTAGGTTAGCACTGTCCAATGGAAACATAACTAATGTGAGCCACTGATAAGAGCAACGTTGTAATTTTAAATTGTCTAGTAGTCACATTTCTACCTTTTTAAGAAGGTAGAAAGAAAAAAATGAAATTAATTTTAATGATGTACCTTCTTTAACCCAACAAAACCCAAATATTATCATTTTAACATATATTCAATATTAGAAAGTTAACTAATGAAATGGTCTACATTCTTTTTTCATACTAATTATTCAAAATCCAGTAGGCATTTTACATTTACAGCACATCTCATCTTGAACTAGCCACGTTGCAAGTGCCAGAGAACTACATATGGCTAGTGACTCCTGAACTGGACAGCCCAGGAGAACGAGCGCTGGGAAGGAGCTGAGAATCCCACGTCCCTAGAATGCCCCGGCTGTTGTCTTCTAGGCCAGTTTCCCGGATCTTGCTCTTTTAATCACCTGGCCCTTTCTTTCCAAATTCTGTTCCCTCTCACACCTCAGTGTGGCTACAGGAGGACTATTTCCTGAGTCACCTCATGGAAATGGTCTATGTTAGGCACGGGCTGTAGAAGGGAATTTCATCAACACTTGGGGAGAAGAAAAACAGAAGGGGAAATTCCATATTTGAGCAGCTGATGGGAACCCAGAAAGTTCTATTATAAATTCACCTCATTGTTTATGAGATAAGAAACTTTGCCCAATCCAATTCCTGCTGAGAAGAATCTCCCCCCATCATTTATGTAAGATTATTGGAGAATGGGCATGCCCCAGACTGCAAAATGTCCGTTCCAGGTCTCAGCCTCTGGGTGAGAGTGGAGGCTTGAGGCTCTCCTAAATGATTCTGGAGGCAGCGCAGGTTGAGTGGGGCAGGCAGGCAGGGCTGTACACTGGGCACTAAGTAGCCTGCCCTTTTTTTCTCTCACAAATCCAAAAGTACTCACCGGACTTCGACCACCTCTGAAGAATGGTGGTGGGAACAGCGGTGGTGGAGGGGGCATCAGCAGGCAGCATGCTTTGTGGCCAGCACGCTTCTTCTGATCCAGGCCAGGAAGGGCTGTTCAGAGAAAACTGCTGCTCGTTAGCGTGTAGTCAGTGCTGGGGCCTTTGTCACACCCACTGTGCCCAGGGAAGACCCATCCTGCCGCCTCAGACTTCCAAATCTAAATCTAGCCTGTTAGATGTGGGTAGAACTTCTGTTTGCTACTTGACATAGCAATTACATCCTTGCCCTTGCCGTTGCTGGATTAAGATGGTTCATAAACAGGGACATTACTTGTTTGGACACTGTCATCATTAGAAAGTTCATTTCTCCTTCCTCAGACACTGACTTGTCACTTTCTAGATGTGGCAGGAAATGCAAAGTTCAAACAGACTCATCATATGCACCCAGTAGTTGAGAAAAAAAAGTGCTTGCTAATAACTTTACTATTGTACTCAGAAAAACATTGTTTAGACAGGGAGACAGGCAGGGCTGGAGGCAGCATCACTTACAGGACACCCAGATCCACGATTTAAACACACATATTGATTCTAGACTTTACAAACACATTCACGTGTCACCCATTTCACTTCAGAGTTACAGTTTAATGTCTCAATATATGGTTAGCCTAATCCACAGTGTTAGGAAATGAAGGGCCCTGGGCCTTTGAAGCTTTATTTTCACAAAGAGTCTTGCCCATGTTCAATGTTAGTAAGTGTTCAGTGTTGAAGTATGCCTTACAAAAAGTACACAGATCAGTAAGTTATGGCCCAATAGATCTCAATAAGGTGAACATATCCTAGAAACTAGCACCCAAGTTAAGAAACAGCATTCTCCAGCACCCAGAAGCCCCTTCAAGCTCAAATCTCTTCACCCCTTTTCATCCTGAATTCTAACACTAGAGATTCATTTTGGCTAATTTTCAATTTTATGTAAATGGAATCATACAATACGAACTCTTGCCTTTGGCTTCTCTCTCTTAACGTAGCACCTGTGGGAATCATCTAGGTTGTTGCTTATCGCTGTCACTGCTGAATAGAGTCCCACTGAGTGACTATATCACAACCTACTCATCCATTCTGCTGAACATTGCTGACGTTCATTGGGTTGATACCACTACACACCCACCAGAATGGCTAACATGAAAAGGACAGAATATAAGAAATGTGGCAAGGATGTGGAACAACCACAACTATCACACATTAGCTGCCAGAATGTAAACTGATGCAGCCTCTTTGAAAAATTGCTTGTTATCTTCTATTACAGCTGAACATAGACATACACTCTAGCCCAGCAATTTCACTCCTAGGTATTTAACAATAGAAAAGTGGGTGTATTTTCACCAAAATGCATGTACTAAAATGTTCATAGCAGCAAAATCCACAATCACCCAAAGCTATGGTTTTCCAGTTCTCAGTTTTGGTGTCATGATGGTACCTTCACTTCCTCCCCTTCATGAGACCTGTGACCTCACAGAACGCACATGCCAGGTTGACCACCACATGCTCTCAGCCCTAATCCCAATTTTCTGTCTTATCTCCCAGGGGCCAGCATCTGTCAACCATCTCCACCTTGTGCTCCAGGGCCTGCCTCAGACGCTAGGCAAGTGCTGAGTGCTTCCCAAAAGTCGCCAGGTCATGCGGTGTCCACAGGAATGCTGGCTCTGTGCACACACACTCCCTCGCACCCTTGATGATGCAGCATTCTACTGGCCTGTGCCAAAGGCCTTCAGCCTTCTCAGGCCGAACGCCACCTTTTGTGAGAAATATTTTGTAAAGACACCTGTAGTATCCAGAAATGAAATTCATAAATAATAGAGGACGCTGATACGTGATTTGAAAAATCAGTATCGTGCTCTGAATGCTATGTAAAAGAGAAATATAAGCAAGTGATTTATGATATAAAAGTAAACATTTTGAGTACAAGTGGTCAGACATAACCATATTAGAATACATAATGCTGTAGTTAGATGCTTGCACTTACATGAAATCATGGTTAATGCAACAGCTCAAATACAGATTATAGTATTGGCAACTCACATGCTACAAGAGATGTGCCCACCATGTGATGTGATTTTCTGAAATAATAAACAACACTGGGTAAAAATCCTGACTAGACAAAGCACAACCATTACTCAGTAATTGCAGTCTTAGAAAACTCAATTTATATTAAAATGGTGCTTTTAAAATGTTGCATAAAAGAGAATCTGGTTCTAGAATAAGATAATTATATATAGGTTTAAATGTTCCTTGGGACATTTCAAAGTCATGTAGGAAGTGGAACAATTCTGTCCCACCCTTTGCAAGATAGCTCTTACTTCTGACCTGGCTCAACAAAGAGAGTTGTGCTACTTTGAAACAACCGAAAATATCTTGAAAATTTCCAAAATGGCCCCAGTGAAAACTGTTGGCCATCCAATGCTTGGTGCCTAGCTTGGTCACAAAAAGTTCCATAGGACCCAGCATCCAACACCAAAGCAGCATCCACTCCAGGTCGTACAAGTTAACAAGGGACGGAAGGAATTCAGAAAAACAGGAACAACAGGTGGCCATCAGCTGGGATGGATCTGGCCATCTTTTGGGAAAGATGGCATTCCTGCTAATTCTGGAAGACCAAGGAGAATTCGGACAAGAAATCTTCCAGTCCACAAAAATATGTGGGGAAGGCCGGGCATGGTGGCTCAAGCCTGTAATCCCAGCACTTTGGGAGGCCGAGGCGGGTGGATCATGAGGTCAACATGGTGAAACCCCGTCTCTACTAATGGTGCAAAAAATTAGCTGAGCATGGTGGCGCGTGCCTGTAATCCCAGCTACTGAGGAGGCTGAGGCAGGAGAATTGCCTGAACCCAGGAGGCGGAGGTTGCGGTGAGCCGAGATCGCGCCATTGCACTCCAGCCTGGGTAACAAGAGCGAAACTCCGTCTCAAAAAAAAAAAAAAAAAAAAAATATGTGGGGAAGTCACGGGTACTTGAGCTAGGCCTTGAAGGGCAAGGGCCAGCTGGAGAGGCAGGTGATGGGAGGAGGGGAGGCTCCCCAGGGAACAGGAGGAATGGCAGGAGAGAGACTGTTCCATTCAAGGGCTACTTGGATTGTGAGAAACAGAGCTTCACTCACAGGGGATCTGGGGAAAAGGAGATTTATTATAAAGTTAAAAATGACAGAAAGAGCTGGAACCAACGCGTCAATGGGATATGACACTGTCCTGGTATTTCTCTCACCTTCCCTGGTCCGCTGTCCCCATCTCCCCTTTCGTGCTTCTTTCTGTGCACCTGACCCATTCCATCTTCTCTGCTGTCTTCACACCCATCTCTCCATGACGGCTGACCCAGTCTTGCCTCACCTCTTTTACCTCCCCCATCTGTTTTGTCTGGAACATCCCCTTGTGGGTCTTAGTTCAAACATCCACCATAGGAAACCTGTGTGCCCAGCCAGGTGACAAGCCATGGGGGTGGCAGAGTAGAACCTGCCCTGGATTGGGCTCAGACCCAGTCTTTAGCAGGATCTCAGGGTCTGTCACCAGCTCAACAATGGCTGTGGGAGTTTCTCCTGAAGAAGGCAAGGCAGAAAAGGAGCTCAGCATGTCAAACAAGCTGGGTGTGGTGGCTCATGCCTGTAATCCCAGCACTTTGCGGGACCGAGGCTACACAGGGTGCTGGGTGAAGGAAGGGGCTGGAGGCCATATATGGTCTGGAAAAACAATGGTGATGAGTGCACATTAGCCATGTGGGTCTGCTGGCCTCCCACTTGCTTTTGGAACCCTGCAGCCTCAGCCCTGAGGCAAAAGAGAAGCAAAGGAAGAACTGCAGCCAGGGGACCTTAAAAAGGTTCCAGGATTGGTGCGAGCCTGCCGGCCTCCACCACCTGACAACGGAAGCTGGGGTCAGGAGTTTGAGACCAGCCTGGCCAAATGGTGAAAACCTGTCTCTACTAAAAATACCAAAATTTGCTGAGTGTGGTGGTGCGCACCTCTAATTCCAGCTACTCAGGAAGCTGAGGCAGGAGAATCACTCTAACTCGGGAGGCAGAGGTTGCAGTGAGCTGAGATCGTGCTGTTACACCCTAGCCTGGGCAAGAGCTAAACTCCACCTCCAAAAAAAAAAGTTAAACACAGCACAGAGCCAAGACACTTCAAGGTGGTGGCCTAATTAAGAGCAGGCTCTCAAAGGAACAGTGGGTGGTGGGGTCAGGATGTAGGGAAAGCTAGAAAGTTAATTTGGGGCTAGATTTTGCGGTTTAAGCTTTAGTCAGTAAGTTGTAGGAAGCCACGGCAGGTGGAGGGTAAAGGAAGGACAGGATCAAAATGGTGCTGGAGAACACGTGTGTGGGGAAGTGCAGGTGTGGGGAGGACAGGCTTGGAGGATAGAAGCATGCAGCAGGGCATGGGACAGGAAGGGAGGTACCAATGCAGAGAAACTGGGGCCAACGTGCTGCAGCATAAAAAGAGCAGGGAGAATCCAGGGGGGACCGGGGGCAACAGTGGTCACAGTTTGAGACAGAAAAGTCACAGTAGGCATTAGTGTATAGGGAACGCTGCTAATTTGGTGTTAGACATTTATTCATTTGAGTACACTCTTTGCCAGTACAGGGCCAGGATTTGTGGGAAGCAAAAGTTACCTAAACGGTGTCTGTAGCTGGAAAGGCTTGCAGAGCTTAGAGGCCTTCTGTTTATACCCAAGTCCCTACTCTCCCATAAGCAGCCCATCAAGAAGTGTTCAGGTGCCACCTCCACCAGGAAGCTTTCCTTGACTTCCCAGGCCAAGATTGAGTGGCCCTGCTATGCTTTTCTCTGGGTTTACCCCTACATTAGGTTTTCTCCATGGGGAAAAATATTTCCTTGTATCTCTCTGACCAAACTGTGCTTTGAGGGCAGGAGTCAGTTTTTATCCCCAGAGTCTAGCACTGTATCTGGAATACACCAAACATTCCACAAATGTTTGCTGAATGAATAATGACAAATACCACATGCAATGCACCATTTAAGTGATTCACACGTATATATTCACCTAATCCTTGCAACCTTAAAAGCTAGGTACTACTCTTATCATCATCTCCATTTTACAGATCCATTGACTGAGGCAAAGAGGTTAAGCAATTTGTCCGAAGTTATATAGCCAGTAAGTGACAGAGCCAGGCAGTCTGGTTCCAGATCCCTTCCTCTTAAACTCTCCACCATGACTGCATGTGGTAGAAATGAAGGTCTGGAACTACAAGTCCCCTAACATCAACTTGGGGCTATAGTATTAATGCCCTCCAAGCAAAGGCCGCAGGGAACCAACCTGGGTTTATTGACTCACTGCAAAGAGGGAACATACGCCAGAAGGAACCATGGGGCATCTCAGTTAAGAGGGTGCAGGAAAGGGCTGATTCTTTTCCAGCTGAAAGGATTGGGGCCTTTGCTAGGTGATTGAGGGGAGACTGTGAGGAAGCAAAGTCTGGCTTCACTCTGGATTGGATGCCATCAGGAAGAAAGGGCCATTCTATAACTGAGTATCTTAATTCATATCTAGAAGAAGAGAGGGGAGCAGCCTAAAGCTGTGATTGGCTTTTTAAAAAGCAGCAGTCACTCATATTACCAAGGATAGGAGAATGTTTAGTCATTTTTGTGGTTGGATGATAGTCCTGTTTTCATCTGTTCGGTTGTGCTTGTAGGGTGATTCTTACTTTTGTCTCGATCCATCAAGGTCACAAGGTGCCCCTGTCTGATGTTGGTGTTCTGTGACATTGCTTCTTTGTGGCAGGAGAACACCATGCCGAGCTCTGTGTCCGGCAGCTCCAGCTGTCATGGGCTACTTTTCTTTTCTCGGGGGTAAAATAATCTGGCTACACTGTTCCAGAACTTGACATTAATGTCAATGTGTTACTCTTCGAGCTTCTCCAAGTTTCCTAGACTGTAAAGTCGCTAGGAGTGGGCAGCTTCCGTTGTCGAGTGGTGGAGGCCGGCAGGTTCGTACCAATTCTGGAACCTTTTTAAGGTCCCCTGGCTGCAGTTCCTCCTTGCTTCTCTTTTGCCTCAGGGCTGAGGCTGCAGGGTTCCAAAAGCACCTGGGAGGCCGGCAGGCCCACATGGCTAATGTGCACTCATCACCATTGTTTTTCCAGACCATATATGGCCTCCAGTCCCTTCCTTCACCCAGCACCCTGTGTGGCCTTCCACAGATGAAGAACTTTTTATCATTTAAAGCATCACTTCTCTCCTTTCTTCCTGGAAACTGGAGGCTTCTTCAGTGACCACAAATTATCAGCTGCATTTCTGGCTGCGGGCTCTGCATTGTTCCACCCCCTCCACCCCACCCCATTTCCTTTCGCCCTTTCCCCCTTGACCCACTTTCTTCCCAGCAGGGGAAGGCTATCTATTTCTGCCCTTCCCCCACTCCCTGGAGCTGTTTGTTTTTAGCAGCCTAGTTTATTTACAGCTCCTTCCAGCTCAGAATATTTCCATCAGGTGGATGTGTTTGGGAGCAGCTTCCCCCTCCCCCTCCTTACCAATCAACTAAGCCAGGACTTCACATGTCTATTTTGGTGTCATCCGAGTGGCCTGTGGGTATCTCTCATGGACCTTCTCTGTAGAATCATGTCTGAGCTCAGGCTTCAGTCTGGAAAAGCCCCGGAAGGCTCTGTTGTATTGAAAGCAATCCTGTGAGTATCTCTGCGGAGCCTGCAGAAACCTGGGTACAGTGCCGTGGCTCAGCCCCAGGCAGCTGCCTTGGAAATGCCAATCATCATGGAACTTCAGGACCTCATGCCCCAACTTAAAGACATCAAGGTCATGTTGTATGTGGCCAGTGCATTGCCAAATTGTGGGTAATTGTTTAATGCAGGCTTTGGGCAAGTGTTTGGGGCTTTTGTTGTTGATAATGCTGATTTTGCCCTTTGGACTCAATACCCATTCTTGAAAAGAAGACTTTCTCCTGTTTCATTTCAAGAAACTGAGACACATCTTTGGAAAGTGATTATCTCTGATTTACTATTGGAAAGACATGGACTGGAATCAAAGAGTGTTAAGTCCGGGTGCAAGTGGCCATGTGAGCCAGCGCAACTCACTTAATCTGAAACTTAATTTCCTCATCAGTACCACAAGGAGTTTTGCCCAAATCATCCCCAGAGTCCTTTAGTCTTTTGTTTGGTTGGCTTTTGAGATGAAGTCTCTGTTGCCCAGGCTGGAGAGCAATGGTGCATTCTCAGCCTACTGCAACCTTCGCCTCCCAGGTTCAAGCCATTCTCGTGCCTCAGCCTCCTGAGTAGCTGGGATTACAGGTGTGTGCCACCACGCTCAGCTAATATTTGTATTTTTAGTAGAGATGGGTTTTGTCATGTTGGCCAGGCTGGTCTTGAACTCCTGACCTCAGGTGATCCACCTGCCTCAGCTTCCCAAAGTGCTGTGATTACAGGCACGAGCCACTGCGCCTGGCCTCCTTTAGTCCCTTTTTAAAATAAGTATGACAGCAGGACCATCACCGTGTCCCTCTTCATCTCTCCTCTTGCAAGGCCAGCCCCACAACAGGTTACTAGAAACAGCCTTTCCCATTTCTGCCTTCTCTCTTTGCATCGAGTAGCCTCCCCTCCCAACCCCTCAATTCAACAAATGTGTCATGAGATGCTGCCAAAGGAAAGAAGTGACATAAGCATCCTGCCTCAGCAGTTTGGGAGAATTACAAGCGCAGCCATATAACTGTTCTGCACCTGCCTGTCTAGTTGGTGGACTAGTCAGCTTTTTACTTCCCCCTCCTCCTTTGGGGCCTTTCCCTGCCTAAGAGAACTTGCATGAGAAAGCAACTCAAGAGAAGAGAGAAGGCCAAAGGCACATTCTGTACAACATCTCGGACTGCTTTGACTTTACTGCAGTGAGTTGGGTCTCAGCTACAATAAAGTTCTTACACTAACTGAATGAAATTTGCCCAAAATTTCCCCCAAGTCACATGTTGCATAGAAGGCTGCACCCTACAACTTTCCTTCAATCCCCACAACAAACCTTGACAAACAAACTCTGATCCTAAAAGTTGCAGGTAATTTGAACTTCTCTGAAAAGACCATGCTGGAGTTTGCCTTCTGCTGTATGTATGCAAACAGGCAAGGATGCAACCTACGAAGAACAATTTGGTGGCTTGGTGGCTGTGCCTCTGAGCCAAATTACCCAAGGCAGTCCACTCAAGAGTGATGAAGAGTGCCTCAGCCACCCAATGCCAGCGGGTGCCCAGACCACAGAACACAATTTTACTTCAAAGCCAAGGTAGCAACTGCCAGCCAGCCAGCCTGAAGTCAAGGACACAAGAGGGACACAGACAAGTGCACACACGCGTAAGTATGTATACCAGGTCCCCATCAACTCTACTGCGAAACCCCTTTGCACTGCAATTTCAAAACTGGCTGAGAAGTTTAAAATTTAAAGGCTTTCACACTGAGAAACTGCCCTGTGAAAGAAAAAAAAATGTAAAGAAAAAAAATTTAAAGGCTCCTAAAACCTCCTAGTACAGTGTGCTTTCCAAGAGCCTTTTTTCCAAAACAATGCATGCACACGAGCATGCACACCCCACACACACACACACACACACACACACACACACACACACACACAAACTCACCCAAGCAGCCTGCTGAGTAACAGAGCAGTCCTGAAATGATGAGCAGATGAGCGAGGCTGAATGATGAGCCCATCATTGTGAGGCAAGGCCCAAAATGGACTGGCCAGGGAACACTAGCTGGAGACAGGCTGAGATTTGTCACGCCTCCGAGTGCTCTCAGTGCTTGGCCTGTTTGGCATTAGGGGTGGGAGTTGGCCAATCCCTGCTTTGATGTTGCTTCTGCCCCAGATGCCAGGGGTCTGGGGCCAGTCCTGAGCTCTCGGGAGCAGCAATGGGTAAGCAGCCCTGCTCTAGCTGGCCAAACACTGCTCTAGGGGAGGCTTGGAGGACAAGAGTGCCTTCAGGCCAGGGGAAGACATGAGGTTGGGAGTCCAGGGATACTTATCCCCCTGCAAGCCAAGAGGAAATGGAGTGCAATCAGTCACACAGGCTGCTTTTTATTTGGCTCAAAAACTGCCTTGTCAATACTGCTCTGGTAAGCCTCAAGGTCGACCCCCCACAGAGACTATCCAAGGTGAGCCTGCCCTCCTCTGCTTCAGGAAGATCTTCATGGCCAGGGGTCCCAGGTCTCATTTGGTCTGGGCCAAAGTGTCACTGACAAAGCTAAACATAACTAAACAACAACAACAACAACAACAAAACCACAAGCAAACAAACAAAATATATGGATTCCCAAAGGGTATGTGGGCAGGTGCATGAAGCCTGCCTATAAAATAGTAAAGTGGCGTATACCAGTTACATGTTCAAATCTGTCTGATACTTTATAGGCACACCCAGGGCACAGGCATGGACACACACAATATTTTAGATTATGAAAGACAAGCTTATTAGTATACCACTTAGCAATAAGCACTATTCTTTTAATCAGCTTAGTAAAGACCACAGGTTATAGCAGGAGTCAGTAAACTTTTGCTATAAAGGGCCATATAGGAAACATTTAGGCTTTGTGGGTCACACGGTCGCTATTACAACCTCACTTTGCCATTGTACAGGAAAGCAGCCATAGACAATATGTAAAGGAATGAGTGTGGCCATGTTTTGTAAAAGTTTATTTACAAAAATAGGGGGCAGGCTGGATTTGGCCTACAGGCTGCAGTTTGCCAAGCCCCGCACTATAGCCTTCGAAAGAAAGGACACTTCTTGTGTTCATTCATTCATTTACTGTTTTATTCATTCAAAACACAGCAAGTACCAAATCGTGCAAGACACAATGACTAGACACAGTTCCTGCCCTTGGAATGTCTTGTTCAGTGTCACAGGAAGAGTACTGGCCCTGGAGTCATCCAAGTTGGGTTTAAGTCCTTGTTTTGCCACTTAGTAACTGTGTGGCCTTGAGGAAGTTATTCATTCTTTGGGAGTCTAAGCTTTCTTACTTAAAAAGCGGGCGTGCAAAGCCGACTTTGATAGTTTGTTGTAGGATTAGAGCTACAGCTTTTGGAATTCCTGGCACAGAACAAGGGCTCTTTTATCGACATATTCTTGGATAACTGTTGTATAACGTAAAAGAGAAGAATGGCTAACATAGGGTAGGGATGCCTGAAGGGATTTACAGAAGGAAGAAATAGGTAACAGTTGAGAGAGAGAGGGTCCAAGTGAGATATCAAGGAAGGGTTCCTGGAAGAGGTGGCATTTGAGCTGATACTTGAAAGCAGAGATTTGCTGTATCAAGATGGGAGGAGTGGGAGGTGAGGCTTAGGATGTGCTCCTTCTCTGGGGAATTCCCCTTTGTCTTTCTCAGAAACTGGGTATAAGACCTCAGAGAAAGTAACAGTAAGGTCAGGGAGTCCTCAGTCCTGAGTCCTGGAGACTTGCAGAAGTATCTGCATCACATTTTCCCAACTTTCTCTATTCTGAGTCATATTCTTGCAGCTCTTCATTTTTCAAATTTCATTTCACAAACCTTCAGCGATGGAAGTTTTGCCACTTTTCACACCAAAAGCACTCACATTTTTTTTTAATCACATGGCATCAAACTTGTTCTAAAGAGGTTAACATATGTAAACCACTCAGCTGTACTTTGTTTCATTATTGTAAAAACAAAAGTAGCTGAAGTAGATGATTGCTGGGGTCCCGTCCAACTCAGCATGCGTATGAATCTCTCTTTGAACCTAATGGTTCAGGCTCATGAACATCTTCTGCCTCTTCTCTGTGTTTCTCTCCTGCCACTCTCTTTTCTGTCTCTGTCTTACCCTCTCTGCCTCTGTCTCTTTCTGTTTATAACTTTGTCTCATTCTTCGGCATTGTCTCTGTCTTTCCAAGCATGCACCATTGAATTTAAGTCAAATTTCTGGATGTATGCTCAACTACTTTTAACTGCTCTCCAGCCAAGTGTGCCAGCCTGGGATTAAGAGCCCTGGTCTTTAGCCCTGGCAGTAACTCACTGTGTGACCTAGGACAGTTCATTTCTCCTGTGGGTCTGGATTTTTCTAGATGTATAATGAAAGCCATTGGACCAGATGAGCTCTAAGCCCTTTCCAGCTTTGGTCTCTACCAGGGTCTGTGATGCCTGAGACATCAAGGGTTCCTGGACAGGGGTGGAGGAATTCCCCTCTTTCCACTTGGTAAGCAATCGTTGCCCTCAAGTTCCCTCAGGTGCCTTGGCCTGGCACCAGCTCACCACAGCAGAGCTGTCTGCAAAATCTAATTCACAATACAAGTTTCCGGGGCCTTCCTGCAGCTGTCAGCAGGTGTCACAGTCACAATATTTTGTCTTAATTACAGCTCTGGGATTTATCAGCCAGGCTAGAGACCACTGCTGGAATATGGCATCCCTGGGAGCTGTTCCAGGCGCTCCTGTCCCTGCTGCTGCCACACACAGGCCTGTTCCCTGCCTATGGAGCCAAAGTGGATTCTGCTTTGCATGGTTTTCCTGCTCTGTCTCCCACACTATCACCCAGAGAGCCTGTGGGGCTTCCCTTCCCAGGGACCCAGAAGCAAAGACATCTACTGTTTGGGGCAGTGCCAAGGGTCCCACCATCCCTAGAGCATTTCATGTCCTCTGTCCCATCCCAAAACCTTGGTGGGCAGAGAAATAGGTAGGAGGACCCGAGTTCTACCTTCCCACTGACAATGATTCTCTCCTCGGCAAGCATTGGTCAGGCTCCCCTGAGCCCTCTTGATTAGGCCTTGAACGTGGGCTTCCGTGTCCATCCTTGCAGAGTCCAGTTACAGCCAGAGTCTTGATAAGTCAGTTTAGAGAGAATCCCCCTCTCTTGAGAACTGATCGTCCTGGTCTGCCTTCAGCAAGAATCCTGTTAAGTTGGTTCAGCCAAAATCCCCCTACCCTGATGTCTTCTCTTAGTATTTTTAATCCACTGACTCACCCAACCTGCTTCTTGGTTATAAATCCCCATTTGTCCTTGTTGTAATGGAGCTAGGGCTGACTCTGCCTATTAGGATAGTCTTTAAATCTATTGCAACAATCTTGGATAAAATCTTCCTTACCTGCTCATTGCAACCTCCACCTCCCGGGTTTAGTATCAGAATAATTTTTTCTTTAATCTCACCTCTAGATCCAATGGTTTTGCTTACTCAGGAGAGTCTTGTAATAGACCAACCTCTTGGGGACAGAGTTTTCATGTCATCTGCTAACATGCACTAATTTTTTCTTTTTTTTTTTGAGATGCAGTTTTGCTCGTGTTGCCGAGGCTGGAGTACAATGATGTGATCTTGGATTACTGCAACTTCTCCCTCTGGGGTTCAAGCGATTCTCATGCCCCAGCTTCCTGAGTTGCTGGAATTACAGGCACCTGCCACCACACTTGGCTAATTTTTTGTATTTTTAGTAGAGATGGGGTTTCACCATGTTGGCTAGGCCGCTCTTGAACTCCTGACCTCAGGTGATCCACCCACCTCAGCCTCCCAAGGTGTTGGGATTATAGACATGAGCCACTGTGCCCAGACTTTAATTTTAATTTTAATTTTAATTAATTAATTATTTTTGCCCAAGTCTTGCTCTGTTGCCCAGGCTGGAGTGCAAAGGCGTTATCTCCACTCACTGCAACCTCTGCCTTCTGGGTCCAAGTGACTCTCCTGTCTCAGCCTCCCAAGTAGCTGGGGTTTCAGGTATGTACCACCATGCCTGGCTAATTTTTTGTATTTTCAGTAGAGACGGGGTTTCACCATTTGGCCAGGCTGGTCTTCAACTCCTGACCTTGTGATCCGCCCACCTCGGCCTCCCAAAGTGCTGGGATTACAGGCATGAGCCACTGCTCCCAGTCTATACATTTTTTTTTTTTTTCAGACAAAGTCTCTCTCTGTCATTCAGACTGGAGTGCAGCAGTGCGATCCTGGCTCACTGCAACCTCCGCCTCCTGGGTTCAAGAGATTCTAGTGCCTCAGCCTCTGGAGTAGCTGGAATTACAGGCACACACCACCATGCCTGGCTAAGTTTTTTATATTTTTAGTAGAGATGAGGTCTCACCATGTTGCCCAAGCTGGTCCTGAACTCCTGGCTCCTGTTATCTGCCCACCTTGGCCTCCCAAACTGCTGAGATTACAGGTGTGAGCCACCGTGCCCGGCCTAACTGGCACTCATTAGTACAGGTTTCCTGGAATGCTGTGTTAAGAAGGACTCTGAGGAAAGGGGGCCATGACTTGTTAGTATCATGTTCCCTGAGATGAGGGGAAGGAGTATGGCCTGCGTTGCATACTTGCAGACTCTTACTTGGCAAAATCCACATCATTAAGTGACGATGACCCAGGCTCAGCATTTCCCAGGCATGATTGCATTTAACTCTCACAGCTGATTATCCCCATTTACAAAGGAGAAAATTACTCTTGGAGAAGTCAAATCAATTGACCTGGACCACACAGCTAGTACAGAATTGGGGTTAGAGTTCCAAAGAAATCTTGTACACAGCCCTAGGAGGAGGTGCCCTCCTGCAGTTATCTGACCCTGCCCCTTGGGGACAGCTCACTGGTTCAACCACTTCCAACCTTCCTGCTTTCCTCTCTGCCCTGGTCTAGTGAGGAGGTTTCCCAGGCTAGCTGGCTGTCTCCACCACTAACTCCCAGCCACTTACGTCCCATCACAGGACCTCCTCCAAGTTGGGCTGTGTGGAGAAGGCTAATATTCCCTCCAAAATGTGTGTTCCCTCTTCCATAGGCCAGAGAGAGCCTTGTGAAGTAGCTGCATTTCCCAGCCCCCTGCAGTATAGAGATATGGGGGCAAGTCATTATTCTTGCCAATGGTTCTGCCTGGGTGCACAGACTCAATCGCTGGGGGACGGTGGAGCTACGGGATGGAAAGGGCCTGCATCCCTGAATGCCAGAAGGGAGGTGCACTGCCCCTGACCAGGGACACTGGACTGTCAGGTGAGCAAAAAATAAATTTTGATTCGGATAAGCCACTAAAATG